ATTTCAGAAGGCTTGATTCTTTTGTCTCTCAACAGATTGCCGAAAGGGTTTAATTAATTTGAATTTTGACTTTGATAAAAGCAGTCAGACATGCCAGTGTTCGATTAAATGGTAGTGTGAATGTAATGACATTCCTAGTTCATGAATGTGTTCTTGAATTATATATTTGAAGAATAATTCATAATTTCATATTTTAATTTGAGATTCCCGATTTGTCCCGAAATCTCGAAAATCTTTCGGGATTCCCGAAAATTTGGTTTGGGATTGGTCTTCAAATTCCCATTCCGAAAATTTCGATTTGGGATTCGGGATACTAGTTTTGATTCGGTATCCCATATCGAATCACCCCTAGTACAGACAATTGAATTGGAATTGGAATAAATAAGTCATTGTTTTTAAGGAGTGTTGAAAGAATAAATGAAAAAATTGTGACCAATTGAATTGGGGTTACAATCTCTCTCAAATTTAATCCTCTTATTCGATCTTCGTAAGATGTTGATTTGTGATTGTGTTGTTGATCCAAGGGCCTTCGAGGCTTGATCTTGGATGAACGATTGGAAGTTTCTTCAAGGGCTTTCGGGGCTTGATCTTGAAGGTTGATGAAAGTTTCTTTAAGGACCTCATTGTTTTAAGCTTTGTAGGTGAAGTTTTGGTGTTGAAGCTTTATAGGTGAAGCTTTGAGGTTGAAGCTTTATTGGGTACCATGAATTGATTTTGCTTCACACTATCTTGATCAAGAGTGTGTGAAGCTTTTGTAAGTGAAACTTTTGTGTTGAAGCTTTGTAGGTGAAGCTTTGTAGGTGAAGATTTTGTGGGTGAAGCTTTTGTAGGTGAAGCTTTTGTGGGTGAAGCTTTGGAGTTGAAGCTTTGTAGGTGAAGCTTTTGTGTTAAAGCTTTGTAGGTGAAGCTTTTGAGTTGAAGCTTTGTAGGTAAAGCTTTTGAGTTGAAGCTTTGTAGGTGAAACTTTGGAGTTGAAGCTTTTGTTGGGTACCATGAATTGATTTTGCTTCACATTATCTTGATCAATATAGTGTGAAGCTTTTGAGAATTTGTAGTTGTCCTCCATTGATGAAGCTTTGTTAAATTTCCCAATTTACTTTTTTTTTTTTTGGGAAAACTAGAAATTTGTCGAATTTCCCAATTTCCTTTTTTTTTTTTTGAAAAAAATTAGAAATTTGAAAATGTGAGAGAGACATCATATACAAATTTTGCTTCCACATTATTAAGCAAGAGATTGTGATGCAAACCACACCTTGTAGTAGTCGAAGGTTTGGATGAACCATGTAAATTGAATTTGCTTCGAACAGTCTTGATCAAAAGTGTGTGAAGCTTTTTACGAGTTATAGTTGCCCTTCATTGATGAAGCTTTTGTTGGCACCATAAATTAGTTTTGCTTCACACTGTCTTGATCAAGAGTGTGTGAAGCTTTTGAGAATTGTGGTTGAGCTCCTTTGATAAGGCTTTTGTTGGCACCATAAATTGGTTTTGCTTCACACTATCTTGATAAAGAGTGTGTGAAGCTTTTGAGAATTGTGGTTGCCCTCCATTGATGAAACTCTTGTTGGCACCATAAATTGGTTTTGCTTCACACTGTTTTGATCAAGAGTGTGTGAAGCTTTTGAGAATTGTGGTCGCCCTCCATTGATGAAGCTCTTGTTGGCACCATAAATTGGTTTTGCTTCACACTGTCTTGATCAAGAGTGTGTGAAGCTTTTTGAGAATTGTGGTTGCCCTCAATTGATGAAGCTCTTGTTGGCACCATAAACTGGTTTTGCTTCACACTGTCTTGATCAAGAATGTGTGAAGCTTTTGAGAATTGTGGTCGCCCTCCATTGATGAAGCTCTTGTTGGCACCATAAATTGGTTTTGCTTCACACTGTCTTGATCAAGAGTGTGTGAAGTTTTTGAGAATTGTGGTTGAACTTCTTTGATGAAACTCTTGTTGGCACCATAAATTGGTTTTGCTTCACACTATCTTGATCAAGAGTGTGTGAAGCTTTTGAGAATTGTGGTTTCCCTACATTGATGAAGCTCTTGGTGGCACCATAAATTGGTTTTGCTTCACACTGTCTTGATCAAGAGTGTGTGAAGCTTTTGAGAATTGTAATTGAACTCCTTTGATGAAGCTCTTGTTGGCACCATAAATTGGTTTTGCATCACATTGTCTTGATCAAGAGTGTGTGAAGCTTTTGAGAATTGTGGTCGCCCTCCATTGATGAAGCTCTTGTTGGCACCATAAATTGGTTTTGCTTCACACTGTCTTGATCAAGAGTGTGTGAAGCTTTTGAGAATTGTGGTTGCCCTCAATTGATGAAGCTCTTGTTGGCACCATAAACTGGTTTTGCTTCACACTGTCTTGATCAAGAGTGTGTGAAGCTTTTGAGAATTATGGTTGCCCTCCATTGATGAAGCTCTTGTTGGCACCATAAATTGGTTTTGCTTCACACTGTCTTGATCAAGAGTGTGTGAAGTTTTTGAGAATTGTGGTTGAACTCCTTTGATGAAACTCTTGTTGGCACCATAAATTGGTTTTGTTTCACACTGTCTTGGTCAAGAGTGTGTGAAGTTTTTGAGAATTGTAATTGAACTCCTTTGATGAAGCTCTTGTTGGCATCATAAATTGGTTTTGCTTCACACTGTCTTGATCAAGAGTGTGTGAACCTTTTGAGAATTGTGGTTGAACTCCTTTGATGAAGCTCTTGTTGGCACCATAAATTGGTTTTGCTTCACACTGTCTTGATCAAGAGTGTGTGAAGCTTTCTACAAGTTGTAGTGTTTGCATTATTACAGAGGACAAATGTCTGAAGCAAATGCAAGAGGGCTGAATAGCTTGATCTTCGTACGCCATGCACTGAAGTTGTTGTTAGCTTGCAATAAGACTTTGTTGGTAACTATAACTCTTGTTGGGCATAAGTGCTCCCCTAGTTAAGTTGTCAAGCTTGAGGGTTTTTGATTATTTGTGAATGCTATGAGTTCACATGTACAAGTTGTACCACTAGTCTTCTAGTAGGTGGAATGGATGATGAGTTGCTTTTATCACTTGGTTGGTGGTACGAAGGTGAGTTCCTTCATCACCTTTCATCATATTTCATCACATGGTTGGTGGCACAAAGATGAGTTCATTCTTCACATGGTTAGTGGCATGAATGGGAAGTTGCCAAATGATATTAAAGTACGGGTTGTACATTTCATCACCTGGTTGGTGGCATGAAGGATAGTACGGGTTGTACATTTCATCACCTGGTTGGTGGCATGCAAGAGAGTACGGGTTGTACATTTCATCTCCTAGTTAGTGGCATGGAGATGAGTTCCTTCTTCACATTTCATCACCTGGTTGGTGAGAATAAGGGCAAGGTGTCGAGGCACATTGTAGCAAGTGTTGAATGACACAAAGTATGTTGAACCATTTCGAAGCACAGTTGGCTTATATATGAATATGTTGGAATGTATGATTGAACAAATATACTGTGAAGCTGTTCGTTTATTTGTATAGTCATGTTGACATATAATTAGACTTTGTTTCATGTTGAAGCTTTGAACCCGAGTGTTTCATTGCTAGGAATGTAAGAGGATTAGGACCGAATTGTCTAAATCACCTCTTTATTGAATTCATGCCAAATAGTCTTCGTTACATAGGATGCCGAACGGTTGAAGCTTAGCACTTGTACAATGAGAGTTTACTTGTAATAGTACTTCAAGTGATCAACGTTCTATTGATTTTGATGATTAGGTGGTGATTTTGGTGTGATTTCTGTGATTATTTATGTGGGTCTGTAGATTTAAATGTGTTCTAGTATTTGCAATGAATCCATATGCATTCTCCACTTGATCCTTGGAATTTAGAAAGTTTGGTCCATTTATTATGCTGTTGCGATTTTCGAAGTTTTATTTTCTTGGATACCATTTGATCAGTTGGAGGTAACTGGGAGCACCATTAAAATGTTGGAGAATAATGTAAATGTAGTATGTGCTATAACAGCTTATGATTTAGTCTCTGGGTTTGTAGGTTGTGTTAAAACTTGAAGCAATTTTGGCAGACCTAGTGGCAATGGAATGGTACTATAAGAAACAGTGCATAAATCCTCCTCCAAACAATGTAAATATTGTTTAATGCTTATTTTATGATAATTTAAATCCATCTAAGCTCTTATCTAGATCTTGCCTAGGCACCTAGCTGCTAGGTCCCAGTCCGCTGTTTGATTAGCACCTAACATTTTTTAAGATCTAAACCTAGCCAATTGAAGCTTCTTACATTGGCTTTTATATTATTGCTTACAACCATTTTGGTGAAGAGACTATTTTCTGCTATGAATATTGACTCAAAACTTTGCACTCTCCAATGTGAAAGCAACCGCTTCGACTAAACCTTGCACTCTTTTGAATTTCGCCCCTCCCCTTGGAAAATCCTGGCTTCGCCACTGGGTATGAGGCAAATATGGAGAAACCAAAACTTCTTATGTGATCTTGAATATCTTTATGGTGATAAGGATACCGTAACCATGAATTCCAGCCAGTTGTGCACCCGGCCCTAGCTATAGCTTGCATGTTGGCGCTTTTCATAGTCGTTATAAAAACAGCAAACTTATTGTAGCTATAGGAACCATAAACCCTTATGCTACAACAGAAGAATCTAAATTATATATTAATAGAATCATCTTTGTCAACCAAAAAAGAGAGAAAAGACTATCTAGTCTTCTATCGCGGCAAAAAAAGTTAAAAACATTAACGTAATTTCACAAAACAAAATTTTGCTATTTTTTATTTAAGTCCCACATATTTTAACATCTCTAAATATAAAAAATAAAAATACAACATCTCTCCTTCTCGCCCTACTCCCAAGTTCACTCTCACTCTCTTCCTCACTTCCTCCCTCCTTCAATTTTAAAAATAAAAAAATAAAAATTCTTTGTGGTTATCGCCTACAACATTAATACCAGCACCACTATTCACGTTATGCTACAAATATTAATGAACATAAACACCAGTTCCACCACTCCATGTTCAATTTGAAGAAGATGATCCATATTTTGAGCTTTTAATTCATACATAATATCGTTCTCATTAACGTCAACGATTACACTTTTCATACCACAAACCAAAACGCAAGACACACCACGAAATTGAAGGGAAACCAAAGCGAAAAGAGATATAAAGAGAAACCAAAGCATGCAATACCAACTCAAAACACACACACACAAAACAAAAGCGAAACCAGCTCAAAATACATATTAGTCCCAGCCAGTTGATCTCTTAGCTCTTTTGACTGGTGGTGACGTCAAGCTACATGTATGGAAGAAGCTGCAAAACACTCCACTTGTCCCAACTAGTTGATCTCTTAGCTTTTTTGTGTGGTAGCGGTGCCAGGCTACTTGTATGGAAGAAGCTGCAAAACACTCCACCTGAGAGTGAGGAAGATCCCTTCTAAAGTGCAACCAAAACTTAGCAACTACTGACTTCAAGTCGTTTGCCGTGATTGAAAATGCTTCAACTTTTGATTGGGACACAAGGGTTGTAGTGCAGATAGGCAACTCAGAAAATGAGGCAGATTTCAATGCCCAAATTACAAGTTCTTCTCCATAGAAATCATTTTTCTCAAGGCATTTGCAAACAGTTGTTGCACCTTTACTAGTTGTGTAGGTCAAAGTAGTGCCTCGCCAGATGAACAGCATCTTCCGCAACGGTTCACCCTCCCTAATAATACAAACATCCTCATTATAAATCACCGGCTTTAGATGCTCAGATATTACTTTCAACCCTTTTTTATCTATACTTCCAATAATTGGAACCTGCATACCAATGTTCAATTAGATAAAATTAATTACGCATTACTTTTATTATCTTTATTGACTGTGAAATTCAAAATTTTCTAGTTACATACTTTCTTTAGTAAATCCACGCAGTGACGGGGCACGATAAGTGTTTGTTCAATTAAGATTGGATATGTCTTTTCCTTCTTCTTTCTCAATATCCGCCGCTCGGCTGCTTTTTGGTACCACTGCGTGTTTAGTAACTCTATAAAGCGATTTCATGACGAGTTCATTAAATCCAAAAACATACATACGTGCATTAAAATATACACAAAAAATTTTAGCATGGAGGAGCTTTAAGCTTAATTAGTGACAAAAATTTTGCTTAAAAGACTACTGATTACGGCACTAACCTGCATCCTCGAATTGAGATATACTAAAAATAGTATTACGCCACTTATAGAGATCACATCAGAAAAGATGATTTGGGCCGTGTCGAAACCGGTCTCAAGGTTTGAACCAAAAGAACTGCAAAAAAATGAAATGGAGGGCAATTTATTAATTATTGATTACGTTCTTTTAGAAAACTGGCATAAATTTTTTATAGAATACAACATAAATATTTCTAGGTGATCAAACATGAAAAGTCATCAAATACAAACCTAAGATTTCGCAAGCCCCACCAAAAACACTGCAACATTTTTCTTGGAAGATATCTTGACGTTGACATATTAGATTGGAGAGCAGACTGATATATACCATACTCCGATATCCCATTATTTGGAAGTTCTACTACAGAGCATGATTGTTTTAAACGCAGGATATCGATCCGCCCATTGTATGTCTGACTAGTAGGACCACAATAGAAACTATAGATGTGATAATCACATATTTGTCCATGTTTACAGATATAGTCCTGCCAACATATTATCTTTCGATCCACAGCAAAAAAGTACCACAAGGATCCGTAAAGCTGATGGACAAACACGACGTTATAGTTAATAATCAATGTTTCTGAAAAGTATTGAAAAAAGATAAAAGATAATGAAATGAAAGCACCACCCCCCTCAAACAAGATGGCCCTTAAAGAAGAAGTAAACATGCTCTTACTCCTATTCAGTATTGTGATATGTTTTCTCTTTGTTTATTCAAAACCATATGAGAAGTTAATTGTACCTATTATTAGGAGTGCTCAAGCACTAACCAGTTAATATGTTAATACGATACTAACTATATATTTAAACCCACTACACAACGTCATCTCATTATCTAGCCGGTTCATAATTTAGGTCAATTCAAAGATCAAGCTTGCAAAAGTTATCCAAATTGGACATCTTTTCACTATTTACATTGTTATTGGATGGCTAGTGAAGTTAGGCTAGTCAACTTTCTTTATGTAAATTAGGCAAGTTAGGTAAGTTAGGCAAGTTAGGCAAGTTAGGCAAAGTTAGGTCCTATGTCTTCTTTCTTTCCCTATATATATGTTCATCTTGTAATGAGAAATAATCATCTAATATATCAAGAAATTAACTCTATTTTGGCATGGTATCAGAGCCATTCTGATCCAAACAGAGTTTCTATTCTGATTCACTTACTGGCACTACTGCCATCTACCCAATAAGACCTGCTATTCTGCAGGTCTTCTACTTTCATACCAACCCAATCTTACTCTTTTTTCATTTGGCCATATCTACCAACATTATTACCCATATCCAGCTTGTTGACCATACATATTCCGCTGCATCTTTTCCCATATTCTTCCCATTTGCAGTATCTCTGCAAAACCCAGAAATCTTTCCACAAAAAAAAAATATACTACCCAATACCCCATAAGCCATACCCGTTGGAAAAATATACTACCCAATACCCCATAAGCCATACCCGTTGGAATCACCCAACAAATTTACCCATAACCTCTGAGGCAGTAATAATGGGTGACTCCAAGACCACTGTTTCAGCTACTGTTACTCAAAATGATATGTCTCTACATATCACCCCAGACAAGTTGGATGGGTCCAACTATTCCTCATGGTCCCAAAGTGTCCGCATCTACATCACTGGCAGAGGTAAATGGTCTTATGTCAGTGGAACAAAAATGGCACCAGCAGAAGCTGATGCATTGTATGCTATATGGGAGGAAGAGAATGCCATGGTTCAATCTTGGTTACTCAACTCCATGACCAGAGATGTACGGGCCATTTTTCTCCGACTCTCTACTGCAAAAGATGTTTGGGATGCTGTTACCCAAACTTACTCAATTGAAAAAGATGCATCAAAGTTATACGAACTTCGCCGTCAAGCACTGGCGACTCGCCAGAATGGAGAACCTTTATCTGCATATTATGGTAAACTTCAGCAAATATGGCAAGAAATTGATTTCTTGCGTCCTGGAAAATTGAAGTGCGCTGCTGATATTGCTACCCGAGAGACAGAAATTTCGGAAGAAAGATTGTATGATTTTCTGGCTGGTCTTGATCCTCATTTAGATCATGTTCGCAGTCAAGTTTTGACTCAAACAACTCTGCCTTCTGTTCGTGCTGCTTATGCTCTTGTGAATGCTGAAGCAAGTAGGCAAACCATTATGTTGGTTGGCCCACAAGTGAAAGGATCCGCCATGGTAGCTGCTCCGTCTCGATTTCCCCGTGGAGTCTCCAATTCTCGATTAAGTGGATCCAAAACTACTAATACAAGGAAGTGTACTTATTGTGACAAGGATAAGCATACTAGAGACACTTGCTTCAAGCTGCATGGATATCCTGATTGGTGGGTTCAAAAGAAGGAAAATCAAAAGAAAGGCATTGGTGGATCACAAGCACACCTGACACCAACGCCTTCCATACCTCGGGTGGATCAATCTGCTCACTTAGTTTCTCCAACTACTGCTTCTACTTCCTTAGTCGATGCAGGTAACTTTGGTTTTGCCTTGAACACTAAAATTGTTCCTCTCAATAAACCTTGGATCATTGATTCAGGGGCTTCTGACCACATGACCAATAACTCTACATGGTTTGTTTCTCACACTACTCCACCTTTAAATACCGTTAAAGTTGCTAATGGTATTTCTACTCCAGTGCTTGGAGCAGGCTCCATCTCATTAACACCAGGCTTATCTCTCTCATCTGTTTTACATGTTCCTAAACTTTCTCACAATTTGATTTCCATTGGTAAACTTACAAATCAACTAAACTGTCTTGCCATCTTTTCTCCTACCCATTGTTGGTTTCAGGATATTCGAACGAAAGCATTGATTGGTCATGGTAGAGAGAGGGGAGGTCTATACTACTTGGACTTACCACCAGATTGTGAGAAGACAAGTTACAGCTGTCAAGTGGAGGCCAAACAATTTGAAGCTTCTGAAAAAATTTGGTTATGGCACAAAAGATTGGGACACCCTTCCTTTCAGTACCTGCAATATCTATTCCCTTCTTTATTTTCTAAAGTCAAGGTTTCTGATTTCCATTGTGAAACTTGCATTCTTTCTAAAAATCATCGTGTCTCATTTCCTTTAAGTTCCCATAAAAGTAATGTTCCTTTCTCTCTTATTCATTCTGATGTTTGGGGACCATTTCATATTCCTACTTATACTGGTGCTAAATACTTTGTTTCTTTCATTGATGACTGCACTCGAGTTTCTTGGGTATACTTACTAAAAAATAAGAGTGAGGTTATGTCTATTTTTCCAATCTTTCATCAAATGATTCAAACCCAATTTCATGTTAAAATTCAAGTCGTTCGATCTGATAGTGGGAAAGAATATTTGAATTATGGACTTGGAACATTTTTTCAACAACACGGTATCATTCATCAAACATCTTGTCCACATACTCCTCAACAGAACGGTATAGCAGAACGTAAAAATCGTCATCTTTTGGATGTGGCTCGCTCTTTATGTTCTGCTATGCACGTTCCTAAACGTTTTTGGGGCGATGCCATTCACACAGCTGTTTTTCTTATCAATCGCATGCCATCACGTGTTCTCCAATTTCAAACACCTATCTAAACCCTTTTCCCAATATCATTCTCTTCCTTCACTCCTTCATATTCCTCCAAAAGTGTTTGGTTGTGTCTGCTACGTTCACGTCCCCATGCAAAATCGGGATAAGTTGGATCCTAGAGCCATCAAATGTGTGTTTATTGGCTAATTCTGCTACTCAGAAAGGGTATCGATGTTACTATCCTCCCACTGGGAAATTTTTTGTCTCTATGGATGTTACCTTTCGGGAACACGAGGCATTTTTTTCAAAAGAAGATTTGGCCACTTCTCTTCAGGGGGAGATATGGAGTAAGGAGGAAGAGAAGTTGCCGCTTGACATTGGTGATGAACACTTGTCTGATGTCGGTGATGATGCAAATTTGCCTAATGATGAGGCACAAGGTGAAAAAATATTGAAGGTGTATGAGAGGACAAGAAAAAAGGGATGATGAGATAGACCACCCACAGACAGATCCCCACATTGACCAACTCTCTGACCAATCAGCTGCTACTCGTACGAATTATCCTGAGGTAACCACTCATTCTCCCTCTCTTCAGCCTACTATATTTGATGAGTCCAATCATGAGATTTCATTAAGTGATGATCCAAATGATTCAAATGAACCACATCGTGAGTCTCAGGGTTCTCGTTATCCTATTCGAGAAAATCGAGGGATACCCCCTTTTCGTTATGGTCATTCTTCTACAAAGGGTATTCAATATCCTATATCTAATTTTGTTTCATCTCATCGCTTGTCAGACTCTTATATATCTTTTGCAAACCAATTGTCATCAGTCTCAGTTCCTAATAAGTTACAGGATGCTCTTAAAGATCCAAAATGGAAAAAGGCTATGATTGAAGAGATGGAAGCGCTTCGAAAAAACTCCACTTAGGAACTGGTTGCACTTCCTGAAGGCAAGAAACCTGTTGGGTGTAGATGGGTGTTCACAGTGAAGCATAAAGCTGATGGTTCAGTGGAGAGGTACAAGGCTAGACTGGTAGCCAAAGGTTATACTCAAACCTATGGCATTGATTATCAAGAGACATTTGCTCCGGTAGCAAAGATCAACACTATCAGGGTTCTTATGTCATTGGCAGCAAATCTAGGGTGGCCTCTACGACAGTTTGATGTAAAAAATGCATTTTTACATGGAGACTTGGATGAAGAGGTATACATGGATCTTCCTCCAGGATTCACTACCGCTTGCGATATTGGCAAAGTATGCAGGTTAAGAAAGTCCTTGTATGGATTGAAACAATCACCAAAGGCATGGTTTGGCAGGTTCGCTCAATCAATGAAAAGTTATGGGTTCAAGCAAACTCAAGCTGACCATACCTTATTTCTTAAGCATGATAGAGGTAAACTTACAGCCTTAATTGTTTATGTGGATGATATGGTGGTTACAGGTAATGATGTCGAGGAAATTCAAAAACTTCAAAAGTATCTAGCCAAGGAATTTGAAATGAAGGACTTGGGTACTTTGAAATATTTCTTGGGTATTGAAGTTGCAAGATCAAAACATGGCATTTTTCTTTCTCAAAAGAAATATGTTATAGACTTATTAATTGAGACTGGGATGTTAGCTTGTAAACCTGCAGACACACCAATTGAGCAAAACCATAGATTGGGAGACTATCATGATCAAGTTCCGGCTAACAAGGAAAGGTACCAAAGATTAGTTGGGAGGTTGATTTATTTGTCTCATACACGACCTGACATAGCCTATGCTGTAAGTGTAGTGAGTCAATTTATGCACAGGCCAAGTGAAGCCCACATGGATGATGTACAACGCATTCTCAGGTATTTGAAGTCTGCCCCTGGAAAAGGCTTGATGTTTTCCAATCACGGACATCAAGAAGTTGAAGGGTACACTGATGCAGATTGGGCTGGGTCAGTAACTGATCGAAGATCGACTTCTGGATACTTTACATTTGTTGGAGGAAATCTAGTTACTTGGCGCAGTAAGAAGCAACATGTAGTGGCTAGATCCAGTGCCGAAGCTGAATTTAGAGGTATGGCACATGGTGTGCAAGAATTGTTATGGCTCAGGACTTTGTTGAGAGAATTAGGTTTTAATTCTGCAAAGCCATCAAAACTTTATTGTGATAACAAAGCTGCCATTAGCATTGCTCATAATCCAGTTCAACATGATCGTACTAAACATGTTGAAGTGGATAGGCACTTTATCAAGGAAAGGTTGGTTGATGGTACCATTAACTTGCCTTATGTGAAGAGTGATGACCAGCTAGCAGATATTTTAACAAAGGCAGTGTCAAGTAGGATTTTCCATCTTTCACTCAGCAAGTTGGGCATTCGAGATATTTACGCACCAACTTGAGGGGGAGTGTCAACTAAAAGCAGCCATGAGTATTGGATGGCTAGTGAAGTTAGGCTAGTCAACTTTCTTTATGTAAATTAGGCAAGTTAGGTAAGTTAGGCAAGTTAGGCAAGTTAGGCAAAGTTAGGTCCTATGTCTTCTTTCTTTCCCTATATATATGTTCATCTTGTAATGAGAAATAATCATCTAATATATCAAGAAATTAACTCTATTTTGGCAATTTGCATTGTTATTGTGAAAGTTTTCCTTCTTTGGATGTTGATTTTAAAAAATATTGGTTAAGATTATGAGATGATGTTGTTGGTTACTAACCGGTTAATGCTTGGGCATTGCTATATCTATTGTTGGATAATAGAGTCTCACACTGAAGATTTAAAAAGATAATTTACAGTTTATATGAGAAAGGTTCAATGCTAATAGCACAAACCCTTTTAGTGGAAAAAAACCCGCACCTAGTGGTATGTGGTTACGTAGAGAACAATATTAGTAAATATGTTGATGGTGACCATGCTAGTTTTAAAAAGTTTATCATATTTACATTCATATATCTCAACAAAATTTTGATTTTTCACCCCAAATATCCGAAATAATGAAGATTTGAACTTACATGAGAAGCAATGATGAACGGAAGGAAGTCTAAGATAGCTTTAAGGAATCTTCTTGGTACAGTCTCTATGTTAGCACGCCGATCAAGCCATTTGTAGTGGTTATAAGCCCTCAGTATATACTGGAAAGGAATTAGTGAAATAAGCATAGAATTATCCAAGTATGTATACCTTCCAATGAACAACAGTGCCTGGAGACATTTGAACAAACAGTTATATTGGTCTATTAGCTAACCAATGTTATTAAATCATTAATTTACTTACGGCTTTTTAGCCAGAACGATCCATAAGATTTGCATAACTATTTACTTATGTCCCTGAAATTTAAAATCAATAGAATTTGTCTCTGAGTTTGTCCACCATCAATCATTTTTGTCATTCCCTAAAAAATCTTCATTAAATAAAATAAAATGACAAAAGTACTCTCAATTTTTGTCAAATCATTTTGGCTTATTGTTTATTAAATTGAGGGTATTTTTGTTATTTTGGTCTTTATTTAACATAATTTCTCACTAAAGGATTAAAATAATTGATAGTGGACAAACTTAGAGACCATTTCTATTGATTTCAAATCTCAGGGATCAAAGTAATGAGTTATGCAAATCTTAGAGATTATTTTGGCTAAAAATCCTTTACTGAATAATCTATCTAATGTGTGTCAAAGTTTTAAGTCTCATCCTAGACCCAGAAAACAAACGCTACCTTCCAACCATAAATAGGTAGCAAAATGACAAACTTAATAGGAATGTACATGTTATCTATTATGTGGCTTAACTGAACGCCCCTTCCTATTATTGTAAAAATATATCGTTTTACTAAAAAAAAATGAACGTAATAAATATGGTCATTTTGGTTCCAGTCCCTAATCAACCTTATTATTATAATGAAGCCTTATTTATTTAAATAGTTTGGTTGAGGTCTGCAACTTCATTTAAGAAATTTAACTCGTGCATTTATACATTCAATTTTCCACAAATTATGAAATTTAAACAAATTCAAATAATACTTTACAATGTAACAATTACTTAAAAATCAATAATAGAGTAATATTGTTTTCACATAGTTTTAGCACAAAAAGAATGTACCCATATAATTATTAATATAGTTTAAGAAATAATTATTGATGTATTTTAAAACATAAAATAAATACATATAATTAGCATAAGTACATTTACAAATAAAAAAAAAGGTTCGTATTAAAATTCAAAATTATGGGCCCAAATTAAAACTAAAAAGAAAAATTGTCCAAATAAAAAAAAGATACAAATTATAAAAAGAAATATATGAAAAATACTAAAAAGATATATTTGAAAATGATTAATAAGTTTTTATTTTTAAAATTGACATATAATGACTTGTAAATAATATAATTACTATTCAAATAATAACATGAAAAAAAGTCAAGGGGCCTTGATCCTAAAAAATATAGCAGGATTGCTTATAATAGGATGTTGCGTTGGTGTGGGACAAGAATTATGTTATTTTATAAGTCCACCCCTACTACTTAGTATAGATAATATATTTTGTTCAATAAAAAGTTAAATGGATGAAGTGACGTTTAACAAAGAAAAATGATTGGAGAATTAGTAATTTAAGGGTAAATGAATTATTTGTTGCTGTCAATTTCCGAAAGCGAATGTTTTGGCTTTTTCATGTTGTTCGGATTAACTCAACTTTCATTTGGCATGTCAATTTTAGGCCCCAAACTCAGGCGAACTATGTAATTGACATTTAAGTTTATTAATACATTAATACTAGAGATTTCGATCAAAAACTAAAACTAATAAGGTCTGACTCAAAAAATATTGGTAACAAGAGACCGGATAGTAATTTTTCTCAAATAAAATCAAAGTATCATGCATGCATGCAGTTAATTGTGAAATTTAATTACTTGCAAGAGATCACCTTCTCTTAGGGTCTTACCTGTAGAAAGGGAAGAGCAACCCAAATGCGACCTAGAATGGCTAAGAACCTAACTGGTTTCTTGCGGATGAAATTACGAACTGTTGTGACAAGACGATCGTCATTAGTTTTTGCGGAGGCCCATGTAGAAGACTTGGTACTAAGTTCGGTGTGAAATCTCTTCAGAAAAACAACGATGTCCATGAAATAAAAAAGATCCCCGATTGATCGTAAAGCCAAAAATGTCCACATCAACCGTAGGTCCCACAAGAAGCAAGCGTCTTTCTCGACAACGAACGGAATATAGCAGATCAAGGGATCAACAAAGAGAGAAAATGCTGATGATACTACAAAGATAATATCCCAGGTTGGAAAGAATACTTTTGATTGATGACGTTGTGGCCCAATTTTTGGCGATTTTGCAGTGGTTATGCTTCTGTGTCCTCCATCTTCCGTGGTAGCTTTCCCCTCCTCCAAAGTATTACTGCTGTGAACTGGATCACTGTACAAGACACAATATACATATTATCCCAACATTTTTCAACTATAAAAAAGAAATATACAACATATATAAATAGTATTCTAAAAATCTTCACTTAGCGCTGCCTAGTGTACTAAAAATCTTCACCTAGTGCTGCCTAGGCGGTGCTAGCTAGGTAAATGGCTAACGCCTCGATTAATTTCTAAGAATTTAAAAATAAGAGTTCTTGAGAGATAGGCTCTTGAAACTCTAGTTTTAAAACAAAAACCACATAAATTTAAACATTCAAATAAGAAGAAAAACAAACCTAACCAAATCAAATATATATATATATATATTCCAGGACCAATATTAAGCCCAATTTCCAAATCTACGTGTATTGAAAGCCTAACTTCAAACCCAAACTTGGGTGCACTGTTCACGGACAGTGGACGGACAAAAATGCCCCCCAATTTCCTTCTCTTTTGATTTCCCAGCATGCTTCTCTAATTTTATTGTTTTTAGCTATGTTTATTGCTTTTGGTTTTAGATTTCCAGACTGTTTCGAATTTTAGAATTTCTTATTCGAATTTGGGTTTTTGTTAAATTTTCAGTTACATTTGACCCTGAACTCCATTATGTGTGGATTGTTTCGAATTTTAGAATTTCATTCGAAATTGGGTTCTGTTATATTTTTAGGTACAATTGTCAATCCATCTAGAGATTTAATTCATCTTCAAATTTTGTAGAGTGATGTTGACATTTTTTTAATCTTTGGATGGAGTCAATGTGCAGCTACTTCAGTCCTTTGCTGAAGTCTATAATTGAGTAGAACCAATGTCAAACATCAATAGTGAAGAGGATCTCGATGAATGAGAGGAGTTTTTAGCAATATTAGATTATCGATTGTTATTCCTTGAAGCCGGTGCTCGACCTACAATAAGATTTTTTTTCTTAATTCATCTAATTTTTAAGTTTTCAATCATTTTAACGGATAGTTTGGTATTTCGGCGGGCTTCATTTTTTATTTCAAATATGTGATTTTGTTAAGACCAAAAAAAAATCTTTGATTTTAATGAAGATTCTCGAATGAGATCGGTTAAGACCAAAAAAATGGTATGTGTCGTACGTTCAATTTGATGTCACTGCCTTATTTTGTTTGAATTATGAGTTCTTATAAGACCAACTGAAAAATGGTGCAAGGAGAGACAATTAGAGTTCATCTCTTTCATTATTATTATTTTTCGTTTGATTTAATAGGTTGTCAATCCATTGTCTCAACTTTTAGTTCAGAGCTTCATTTATCACCACAATGTCTATTTGTTTACATATTTGACTGATTTTACTAATTTGTGCATTTTAATATTGAATTTATGGAGAGGTAGAATTTCACAGCCCGTCCCGAATTATTTTTATCGTCAGTGTGAAATGTCTATTTTGCCCATGGACGTTCAGATGTGCTGTGTGTGACATGTTTTTAGAGGTGGACTAATATGTTACGTTCCTAAGTTTTTGGACTCAATTAGAAGTTAAACTTTTGTTGGTTTTGGTTGGTGACAAGCTAGACCACACCATCACACACACACACCACTCCCGTGTACTCTCTTTCTCTCAGATTTTCTTGCCATTTCCGTACAACCTGTACGGACAACCCTCAAAACCCTTACAACATCACGGATCGAGGTCATGAATGGTGTTTTTGGACTCCTTGCAAGCTTAGAAGCCAAATGGTGGTGGTGGTTGGACATGAAAACCTCGGAAACCCTTGAAACCAGAATTCCCGATTTGGGTTACTGTTCATGCAGTCGTAATCGTGGATTTTTCAGCGAGTTTTAAGGTCATAGGAAGCCTTAAAACATTTTCACGAAGCTCGGGGAGTAACTTTGGAGTGATTTAGACGTCAGGAAGCCCGAGTTCGACGAGTTGCATAGGTAGCCGGATTATCGTGCTTTTTCCAGCGAGACCTTGTGGATTTTAGGGCTTAAAATTGGTAAGGTTTTATTCTACTCGTTGTAAGCTTCATTGTGGTATGAAATTCATGAGTTTTGGTTGAAAAATGAAAAAGATATGAAGGTTTAAACTTTTTCCCAGTTTTCGGCGACGACAACGGTCTCCAGCGAGCAGAGGTAGACGAAGGTGAATATTCCGTCAATGTTGACGGAATATTCATAACAGAGACTAATGGCGTCAGGTATCTTTAATGGTATATGCTTGTGTTTAATGGAATATTCCATAACGGCGTTAACTATTTCGTCCCTTGTGCCAGGCACGTGCCTGCGCGTGGCCGTGTGTGTGGCCGTGCCTTGGCCGACGCGTGAGGGCGCATGGATGGTCAGAAAATTTTTCTAAAAATATGAGGTTGAGTAGATTACGTTGGTATATTCAAACACTCCATTTGAGCATTATATGAGAACTTATTAGCTAGTTTCGTTCATGTGTTTTAATTAACGTTTATTTAGTTATTTCGCACATAGGTGAGACCTATCCAGAAGACGAGCGCCATCAATCAAGACTCAGGGGCTACGATCCTTCGACATACCAATGAGTTGGCCTTTGATTTTTCGTATATACCTATATACTTGAGATTTTTCCCAGAAAAATGAATTTGAATGATCATACGTTTTTAAATGCCATGCAAAGTATCTGCCTATTTTATTTATGCATTAGTAGTTGCATATAGTTATGATTGGTGTTGTGGACGCACAAGTAAGTGCCATGTAAGTTCATAAATTAAAGATATGAGATTGCTTTAGTTATGCGAGATATGATGTGATGCATTGAGAGCTCATAACCTGCATCCCGGTGTTAGTGATCACGCCCAGAGTTAGGGCACAGTCCTTCACGTGATATTCACCTCCCGCACCATATGCTCACCTTGGATCCAAGTTAATTGCACATACTGTCGTACAGACCATTATAGGTGGTTCCGACTCGTAGGTGACCCGCTATCATTCGCACAGCCTTCACGTAATCGTAGCACTAGAGCATATTTACTTTACACATAGTCTTGTCGTACAGACCGTTTTAGGTGATTCCGACTCGTGTGCAGGATTTGATATGATTTAAATTGGTTATGAGCCATAGACTCAGTCGCGCATGTCACATTAGGTGGATCCGGCTTATATGATATCTGGCATTGATATATTTTAACCGGATTACTTATGACATTTCATTGAGATACTTTGGTTTGGTATATTTCTATGGATTTTCATCTTGAGCATGATTTCTTTTATAGTATATATTATTTTTCTGGGAAATTATACAGGTTTTACGGCGAGGGGTTAGCGCTTTTGATAAATGAAAAGAATTTTAAAAGCTTTCTTTTTGCCCACTCACACTTTCTGTTTTGCGCTCCTCCAGATTTTAGGTAGAAGTGCTTTGGTGACTCACGGAGATTTCGACGTTGGTTCTGACAGAACATCATAAATGTAGGATCACCTTTGGGTGTTGTATAATTAGTATTTGTCCAGTCAAACTGCACTTAGGCTATTTATGCTTTGATTGTGTATTGCACACTTAGTCTCGCACTAGCACCTTATTTTAGTTAGGAGTTTTAGTAGTTTGGTTTTTTATTCACTCATATTTCTCTATATCATTATTGCTTCCGCACTGTGCACATGGTTACGTCACTCTTACGTAATGGCCAGCAGACCCTGATTTGGGTCGGGGTGTGTCATAGAAGCCTCCAACGCTGACTAACGGTTTTAGGAGGAATTTTGGTTTATTTGTGGCTGTGAAGTTTAATATTGAGTTAATTACATTTACAAGCCATGAGATAGTTTTTGCCTTTTCTACCACTTGGTTTTTTAGCTGCACAAAATTATATTTTTAAGAAATTGACAGTAAACCTGTGCATTAAATGGACTGCTTATTATAGTTGAGTTAATTAGATTCAACCAATTAAGGCTGACTAACCGTTTTGATCATCAATTATTGATGTGCCACTTTTCTAATTGGACATGTTGTATATATGCATGACCTGATGGTACTCTGTTAAATTACTTTTCTGCAAAAATTATTTTATGTGTTGGTTCTAAATGATTTGTTAGATGCTATTTTGATTTCAATTGTTTTTCGTTTTCTTCTACTACTTTTTTCCTATATATTTGATTTACAGGCCACTTGAATTTTGAATTGTGACTGAAAATTGGAGTCCGCACATGGGGTATGGATAAAACCACAACTTACTTTTCTTATTACTTTTCCTTTAAATGTCTTTATTCTGAGATTGACTCTATAAATTGTAAATTTCCAGCACTTGCACATACTTCAGTGTATACAAGAAAACCAATGTTTTTTTAGGTACAAGAACCAAGTACGTTATATATATCTTCTATGAATGCTTTTTTTACTTTTAATTGTTTAGTTTAATAGCTGTTTGGATCCTTAAAAATATTTTTCGTTCAAATTATTTTTAGATCCTTAAATAAGTGTCATTTTTCAAATTTCTTTGATTGAGAACTAAAAATAACAAATTTGTTTTTGAAATTTCATTATTCTTTTAAGTTAACAAAACAAAAAAATTGACAAATTTTAAAAAATAAAATTATATTATTTCAACTTCTATCTTTTTACCTCAATAATTTTAAATTTCCTATCATTTTCACTCCTTTCTCCCAGAAGAAAAGATCTTCTCTGCCTCTGCTTTATTAGTTTATTTCTCCCAACAGCCCCATCTTCCTACTCTCTTTCTTTCTTTTTATTTCCTCTTCTTTCTTCTCTCCTTCTTCGCGTCCTTCTACCAACGCCACTGCCGAATCATTCTCCAGTTCAGCCTCCAGTCTCCATTGCCAACGGAAGTAATTAAAATCTCTATTCGGTCGTTCGGGCTCTCCGGCTTTCCGTGCTCCAGTTTGGCGTTTTGGTCTTTGGTTTTAGGTTAATCAAATTTTATTGTATTTTTGTTTCTTGATTTGTATTGATTACTTTTCTGAATTACTTGTATTTGCTGCAATTTGGAATTCGCAGGGTGATGTACATTACATATTATGCAATGAAGAGCCACTTCGGGTGAGTTCATGTCGTCCGCTTTAGTATAAAGGACCATGGAAGAGGACATCACTGCATTTTTATGAACTGGAGTTTTATGCTGTGCTTTTCGATTATCTATGCATTGGTCTTCGAGTTATTGTATTTTTTGAATGCAGGGACTTATTGAATTTGAGTCCGAGGCCTGAAAATATTATTGAGGGCCTTTTTGCTGCTTTTATCAGGGGATTGGGTTTTTTTTTATGAATTGGGAATTGTGTTTTAAATACAAGACTTTGGTTTTCAACCACTCAGTATTACGGTCGAATAGTATTATTCTTTACTTGTAAATCAAAAATCTTAGATTCGTATCAGTGAATTTAATACAAAATTAGCTTACCCATTGTAAGACTTAGTTTTTCTACTAAAAAAAACTTGAGTTTTTAGTTTTTTTATAAACAATTTTCAGATTTTATTAATAAAAAAATCCGAACCGAATCGTACTTTCGGTTTGATTTTCTATTTTTGCAAAAAACTCAACCGAAGGAAACCTAACCCAGCTCGAAACTTGTATATATAATTTGTATACTTAAGAAAGAGTGCCCACATTTGCCTAGACTCCAGACTGCCCCAAAACGTGGAATTTTTTTTATTATGATCGGAACATAGGTGGTATACAACATAATTTTATATAAGTAATGAGAAATTTTATTGTTCCAATTCTTAACTTTTATAGTGACAAATGGTGTATAATCTAAAGTTTCGGTCACATTGAATAATAATTATGCATAATTAAAGAAAATGAATTGTTTAGAGTTTTTCTAGTTATATGAGCTCTAGTAGAGTAGGATGAGACCTGGTTTGGATATGGAATGAATAAGTAATTATTTAAGATATTCTTCTTTCAACTTATAATAATTATGTATAATTAAAGAAAAAGAAAGAAAACAAGAAATGATCTTAAAAGTTCCAGAATTAAACAACCGAACCTTAGGGTTACGATGGAGTCCGCCATAACTGAAGTTGATATGATACCTTTATATCTTGGACTTGGATTCTCTGCCCTCCTATTTCGGTGCCTTCTTCGTGTCCTCCTGTTTTGTGTGGTCACGGTTAAGTCACGTTAATATTTTAAATTATTTTTTATAAAAATAATAAAACAAAAAGAAATATTAATATAAAATGTTAACGTGGCTTAACCGTGACCACAAAAACAGGAGGCATGGGAAGGGTACCAAAATAGGAGGGCAGAGAATCCAAGTCCAATTGTTTGATACACCAATAGAGAGACAAGTACTGAAGCCCTACTAACCTGAGACTTCAAGTGCTGAAGCAGTGATGGAGTCCTTATTCCAAACTCTTGGCAACAGTGATGGAGTCCTCAGTCCGAACCCTGGGCAAACCCCTCCATGAATTAGATCATATATATCACCTTGGTTTGGCCAAAAAGTAGCTGGAAAATCTCGAAGTTGGCCGGAGAACTCTCTGTCCGAATTTCGGAATTTCGAACCCACAGGTTATTCGAGACTGAGCCTAGGGATGCTGGTGCGTCAAATGGTGGCTTCAAAATATTCCAAATCGACGACGCTTGGTCGGAAAATCAGCGGTTTCTTTCTGCAACTCGCCGGAGTCCTGCAGTGGACTTCTCCTTTGATCTGCGTCAAAACTCGCCATTTTCAACCAACCAAACAGGAAATTTAAACTACTCAATGAAATGCAACGATTCGAGGCGATTAAAGGCTTACATTATCCGGGACAACGACGGAAAACTCGTCGGAAAGTTCAAGCGCGACTGAGTTCGTGGTTCTCGAGTTTTGGATCCGAGTTCGCGAACACGAAAGTCACGGCCGTGTTGTGTTTGAGGAGCAGATTGCGATGGTGGTGGGTTTGGAGGCTCGATTGGTCGGGGGCGGTTTTTCCTCTGCGTTGCAGAGAGAAGGGAGAGCGGGAGTGAGAGAGGACAGCGTGGGAGAGAGGTACAGCAGAAGTGAGCTTTTTTCTAATGAATGATTCCTTAATTAAAAAATACTTGGTACTTGTTTGGATCCGATTTTACATCATTGGCCCAAGCCGTTGAGTGAGCATGATTGTTGACCGTCGAATAAAGAAGTTAAGATATTTTGTTATTGTTAAGAGATAATATTATGGTTTTTAATCATAATAATTATCTTTATCTCAATTTTTTTGTACAAGATAAGTGGGATTCTCATTATCTTTAATGGGAAGCAGTAACAACAGAATTTAGATTAACTTGAGTCTGCTGGCTGTAGACGTGTTAATTGATAGGAGATCACGAGGGATTTGATATCATCTAAAGAAAATAATAGTCCTGCATAATGATGGCATAGGAAACATAGGTAGACTAGGCTTTTTGTTTTACTTGGTGATGGATGTAACAGATGGGTTTGAAATGATAAGAGCAACTCCACCCATGGAGCCCTCCCCCCTGGCAATCCACTATTGAATCCACCATTTTGAACAGTAACTGCCTTTAATGAATAGTAACTGTCATTAATGAACAGTAATTGTCATTTGCATCTCCACTCTTGGAGTCCTCCCTCCTGGCAATAGGCAATAAAATATTAGTTTTTTTTGTTTGTTTAAATAATACAAAATAAAATTATTTGTAATTTCGGATAAGATTTTTTAAATCGTTCTCGTTGCGCCACGTATCATTTTATAAAAAAAAAGCAATTATTTAGTGATGGATTTCGATAAGATTTTTATTAAAAAAAAACAATTAATTTAGTGATGGAATTTGATTGAAAGTAGTTGAGAAAATATGAAATTGTGGTGTAAGGTAGATGGAGAAGAAGTGGTATTTATAGAAAAGTAAAAACAATTTTTTACAAAAAAAATTTCAGATTTTTTACAATTTTTTCAGATTTTTTACATTTTTTTTTAATTTTTATTCAAAAAATTAATCTCTGCCGTTGGATTTTAAAAATTTTGAATTCCAACACTCCAAATTGTGCCACGTGTCACAACGGTAACTTTTCTTAATTTTAAAACTATTTTTTTTTAATTTATAAAGCAGATTAATATCAACCGTTGATCTCAGATCGAACGGTTGATATAAAATCAGCTTTTTTTTTATTACCGTTGCAAATCGGACGGTTCTTATTAAAGAACCGTTGGGATCGAACGGACCGTGGGAAGCCACGTGGCTTCCCAACGGTAACTGGGATGTCTGAGCGCGCGGGCCCTCCCCCTGAAATCCTGTCGGGCGACGCGCCCCCACTCGCGAGTGAGGGGCACGGGCCTGACACAAAAAAAATAAAAAACAAGGCCGAACCAGCCCTGGCGTCAGCGTGACGTCACAAGGTTCAGGGACCAGGCCTGTCAATTTTCCACGGGCCTGCAACTCGAGCTCCCACCCTCACTCGGGCCCTTCACCGCTGGACCTCCTCCCACCGGCCCTCAGGCCCTTTCCTGGAGCCTGTCCCCCGAGCAACAAGGATGGCTGGAGTTGCTCTAAGGATGCTTTGAATTTTCAAAGTCTCTTTGTGAAAGTCTGGACTCAATCCAAGAAGGCTAGTGAGGTTATTGGCATAATATATTAAAGATAATATCGGTTGTTTTGATATTGTTTTTTGGAGTATATCCAGGAAAATGTTTTATTGGATTGGTGATCATGTAGGCTTGGCTATAAATACAAAGTTGTAGATAATGGAAAAGTCCCTCCAATTCAACACACAAATTGTCTTGTGCAAACCCTCGCTCTACGCAAAACCTCTCAACAACCTTGAGATTTTTGTTTTCCCTTTTCGCCAACACATCTTCAGTTTGGATAAACAACATTGTGAAGGTAACCGGCAAACATCTTCAGTTTGGATAAACAGCATTGTTGCCGTAGAATCAGCTGACCGTGAAACACCTTCAATTTGGATAAACAGCATTGCGACAGGGCCGACTGGTTATCTATCCAAGTCTCGGTCGAGAAGAATTTTCGAATCTTTATTGGCAGATGTCATCTCATTAGTCTTCTCAACGAAGTGAGGTGTTACAAGTTACTACATTCGGCACATTGAAAGCCGAATTTGATATCGAACTTCACAAAACTAGCAACATTGTCTTTAAGCTCTAGAACCCGAATGCCAAAACATGTTCCTTCCTCGGCCACAGTCGCGAGATTCAAAAGTTAGCAGCGCACCCAACGCAACATCAACATATTTTACTCCTCGGCCGACGAGTTGGCACACCTACATACAACCGAAAGACGTAGTTAGCTCACTAGTTACTCGGCCTGCGCGCCACGTAGGCTTGGTAGTTTTTAGGGTCAACAGTACTTAATCGAGAGAAATTTTTTATTGTGATTGAAATACAATGTTAAATCACGTATTTTTATATAAGTAATGAGAAATTATATTTTTAAGTTATTAACTTTTTAACGCATATATCTCATTATTTGTATAATGACACATAATATATCACCTTATGTACCGATCAAATTGAAAAATCTATTCTCAATGAGGAGCACCCAAAATACCTTGGAGTGGTCCATTGCAAATAAGACAACTGCTAAAGTTTAAGTTTTACTTGTCATTTTCTAAAACAGGTATAAAATTATAATTTTGCCCTTCTTTTGTCAATAATGTGTATCAAAAGTGAGGGAAAAAATATAAAAAAAAGGCCAAAAGGTTGACTAGGAGGGTTCTCTTAATAGTATACTTGCATTTACCTACACACTTTGTGTGTATGAACACATATTTTTAGAAAAAATGAGAAGGAGATAGGGGGAGAGAGAGAACGTGGGGGAGTGAGAGGTTTAACAAAAAATCATTATGTGGAGATCTTACGGATTTCAATATTTCAACCATTATTCGTGTATCGTGCGATCAAAAATTATTGAATTTTTATTATTTTAAATTAAACACAATTAGTGTTTTATCAAAACTGACCGTACAATACACGATGAACATATGAGATGTGGGATCTATCCCCACATAATGAATCCAGAGGAGATACTCTTCTACTTCATTGAAATTCCGCTGACAGTCTGTCATTTCAGACCTCCATTTAAATGAGTAGGATTCTCTCTCTTCCTATTTTTATCCCTTTCCCTTTCCTTCGCTTACAAATTGTTTTTTGTCTTCTTCTGGCTATTAAAAATTAACATAAAATGTTGACGTGACTTAACTGTAATCATTCAAATATAAAATGAGGGAAGAGGAGAGAGACTAAGAGTGGAGAAAATCCTACCCCCAATAAAATGGATCGTCTCCCATCTTTCGAGATAACACAGCCAAGTGCACTAATAGAGTCTTTGTGAGACAAGACGTCAGCATAATGATGCGGAACAGCACCCCACGTAGGGATGGGTGAGCGGGTAACCGCAATTATTTATCCATAACTGTTTATATTCATATCCGCATAACCGTTTACCCGTTGGGTAATTGCATAAACGGTTATACACATACCCATAACCGTTTATAAACAGTTAACCATACTCATAACCGTATACTCATTTAACCATAACCGTTTACCCATTTAATCATAACCATTTACACGTTTATCCTTTTTTCACCCATTTACCCATTTTTTCACCCGTCTACATGTTTTTTTTTTAACAACTTGAAAATTAAAAAAATTAAAATTTGTCATAATTTTCGTTTTCTGACAATTAAACACCGTTATATGTACATTTTAGCATGCATTTCTCTATTTTAATCATTTAAGTCCTCATACAATTCCAATAATTGAAATAATAGTTTACAAACGATATTTTTCTGCTACACTTAAGCAAGTCTTTAATTTCAAGACCGATTACAAACCAAAATTTCAAGAATTCCGAAATAATTTTGGAATTTTGGGATAAACCGGGAATCCCAAAATTGCTTACTATAACTCAACCATCGATCCATTCTACAGAAGTTTATCTGGTGGATACCACCATACTAGTAAAATGACAAATACATTGATCATTCGATATTGCAGAAAGCATTTTTTTTAGTACATTGCCAGGTAATATACCAGACAACACAAAGCATCAAACTTCTTCCAGCCTTAGAAACATATAAACAAGGGGGGGGGGGGAATATCAGATACGAATTTAACCACAGAACTTCGATGTTAAATTAAATGGGTATAACCAATCCATTGTCTATAATTTTTTTTTTAAATTTTTTACATATATTAAATTAAATGGGTAAATGAATATCCGTTATAACCGCGGATAATACCCATAATCGATGAATACCCGTTATAACTGTGGGTAATACCTATAACCGCCTATTTAAATTTTATGGATAAACGGTTATACCCATAACCGTTTGTTTGTCTAAACGGTTACCATAACCGTAACCGTAAACTTTAAATGGACAGGTAATTACGGTTACACAAACCCATGGGTATTTTGCCTATCCCTAACCCCACTAGTGTGATGGACAACACGACAAGATTTATTTGAATTGCACGATTTTACGTGAAAAGTTGAGATTATTTGCTCTGTAGTTCACGTGCAGGCTTCGAACAGTTCCAATCCATAAAGAAATATTATATGAAATATATCAATACTATTATTAAGAGAACACACCCTATCAAATTTTTGCCCGCTTTTTCCAAATTTACCCCTTACTTTTGATTACACAATGTTGGTATGAGGAGGGTAAAACAATCATATCCCTTCTTTTTTTCCTATTTTGCCCACTTTTTATATACAATATTTACATAAAGAAGACAAAATAGTAATTTTGTATCAAAATATTTACATAAGATAAAAATATGCCCTTATTAAGAAAATTTGTTTCACTATCATTTTTACATACATGTAAGTGAAATTATGATTTTTTTTAATAGTTTGAATGAACTAAAACGGTTACGCTTGAAGAAAACATGAAAGAAGGTGAACGGTTGTTCACACACACAAAGTGTGTGCTTTATGTGAATGTTTATAATATATTAACATAAAATAGTCTAGGTCAAATTCCATATTATATGTAAAATGTAATATGTGTTGTCATAGTTTTTAATAAAAAAATTAACTCACCTTTTGAAAGTTGCGTTGCAGCTCCAAAGGATACTTCGTACAAGCGCGGGTACTCATATTCGCCAATTATTGCTGACGCAGGGGCAGGCTGGGCCCCAACGCACATGCTGCCCTGAGAAGGTTGAAAGGTTGAGGGACTTAGATTGTCTTTCCCTCCTCACTTTTTGTTTTATTATTTTTATAAAAAAATTAAAATAAAATATTGACGTGGTTTAATTGTGATCATTGAAATAGGAGGGTATGAGAAGTGGATGTATGGGGGAGGGCAAGACAAATCATTCAACTTGTAAATCTTTTAGCCATTAAACTTTTGAAAATCTTGGTCGAAATATTATAGCATGACTAATCATTCAATTTGTAAATCTTTTAACCATTCATATAGATCAAACAAATACATGATTATCATAAAAATTTACTTGTTACCTAAATCGTTAATTAATTTGACACATATTCATGAATCATCGCTTTTTAAATTGAAAGATTAAATACAATTATCAAGTTAAATTACAACCTTAACCACACCACAACCACCACTCACTCTTTTACATTTTTTTCCCGAAGATGGATTGTCTGCCCTCCCCATCTCATACTCTTCCCATCCCCTACTATTATGTGGTCACGGTTAAGCCACGTCAACATTTTCTCATACAAATAAGAGGGGATGGAAATAGTATAGGATGGGAAGGGCAGACAATCCATCTCCTTTTTTTCTCACACAAGTCAGTACTTTTACAGTTGGACATAGCTATATGTATGTCCTATTGCTACATATACACTACTATCGATCAACTCATTGGGATGACCATCAAAGAGCATTCATTGAATATTTTCGTCTGCACCGACATAAAGAGATTCTGCGATTTCAATTGAAGTGGGGGCCTCCTTCTCCACTAAAACTAATGATGGGTAGGCATATGTAGTGGTGAAGCCAGAAATTTTTGGGAGGAGGGGCGAAATATAAAAAGGTAAGAGGTCGCATAAATGTAGATAACTAAATCCCTTTAGATATATGGTAGACAATATTAATGTCGATAATAATTTATAAATACAAACAAATTACAATTGTTATTGGCAACATTTCATGTTGTGAAAATGTCGCATAATAGACTCACTATCAATAAAAGCACAAATATATCTCTCAATTTAAACAACCATGCTATCCTACAACTATTGAGCTCCTATTTTGTTATGCAATGGTGTTTTCACAACAGTTATAGTAGAAAATGCTCTTTCCATTGAAGCAGTTGCAACCGGTAACTCCAAAACCAATGTAAAAAGCTTATACACTAACTTATAGTTTTCACAACTCTCGAAATTCACAAAAAATATCACTATGTTTTTTAATGATGAAAAAGTACTATGCAGCGTCATAATTGCTTATGAGGTGAAATCTAGTTTCACCACATTACAAAGTCCCAAAATATACCACGTGGGTTTAATTTTAAACCAAATGCTATATGGTTCTTCATATTCTTATCAATCTCGGCTTCTCCGAAAAGCTTAGCTTCCCTCTGTTTTACCTATAAAAAATCATTGGAAACTCGTAACTTTCTTTTTGCTTGTCGATTTGACAAAAGGTTTTCGCCTACGGATTTAGTGAGTCGAGCCAAACAAGTTTAGGTAAAGGATTTGGAAATGCAATTAGGTTTGGAATTTTATTTTTTTTAATTCGGGAATTTATACAAACTAGACTTTAATCTCATGTTTCAAGTGTTCTTGACTTCAATTGTGTCATTTGGAGGTTCAATCAAGATGAAAGGGCCAGCTTGGAGGAATTCAGGTAAGCTATAAGCTTATATATTGTTGTTGTCAAGTTTTGGAGAGGAATTCAGGTAAGCTATGAAAGCCTTTGAAGCTGGGCAGTGGCTTGGCTTGAAGGTTGGAACTTGGAGGGGAACGGCGAAGGCGCGAAGAGGGAATCTGGGCAATGGCTTGAAGGTTGTCGTATCTTCTCGAGCTAGTTTGTGGGGGCTCCAATAAGGTTAATTTGGACGAGTGGTCTCCATATGTCAGTCTTATTTATTTATGTTTTTCAATGAATACAAACGACACCGTTCTACTTAAGGGGGTTTTCTTTTATGTCCAATACGACGCCGTTTGGCTTGGGGTTTTCAGAAAACTGAACTGTCGCGCGCAGCACCTGCTCAACAGCAGCATAAAACAGGGGTTCATTTCCGGTGAGAGGAGGGGCGGATACTTGCTCCTGGGCTTCATTTCCGACGAGGGAAGGGGCGGTCGCCACTCCTTGCCCCTATGTAGCTTCGTCATTGGGCATACGTATTATAACAAAAGTTGATTAATACCGTCACGCATGATATTACAGTCACACAAAACTATTTTTCTATAATATGAAGCATAAGGGAATTATAAAACCAATTTGAACTTGATACTTTTAAGATGTTATTCGCAGATCAACTGTTGTCAGTGTTTTACGGAAATGGAAATTAAAATAAATACTCATGATCCTGTAGCATGATATCTAGTCTTCTCTGTTCGGTAATATGCTTACCTGTTTTTTCTGTCTTGAAACTTGCAAGGGTAACAAGTGTGCCAAAGCCAATCATAATTGCAACTTTTGTTGCCTGGTTAGAAAAATGGGAGCACAAAAAACGAAAAAAATTAGATATAAAGTTCGGAACTTTTTAGAGTCGGTTTAATAATTATCTAGTAGAAAAAAATAGTTATCCAACGAGCATTAAAACTTTAAACTTTTTAAGGTTACAAAACATCAACATATAACTATAATTTCATGGATTTGATTAGGAGAAAACATATAACCTGCCCAATTGGCCCCCCAAAAGTTGCAGCCTCCTCTGATGAAACTGCAATGTGTGTTCAGTCAGTGAGCACTAGTTCGCGCTTTTTCACGGAACTACGTAAGCCGTAGCACGTTAGCGTCCGTACTTTTCCTCTATCTATGGGCGAGACTTTATCCAGATCTATAGATCTCCCCAACGTTTAAGCGAGACCCCATAAAAATCTACCACTTGTTGGGCGACGCTTTCTTTTCTATGAGCACCTCACCGTTGAATGATGAACTTTGCCAATCTTCACCTCCGACCCGACCAGGGGAGAACATGGTCAAGATGGAACTTCAGCTTCCTATCTTAGTTCCATACTTGTAGATCCTCCAGCTTGCAATATGTCCACAAATGTAGGTTCCCACAAATGTCTACAATTCTTGCAGTCTTCTTTTAAAGACATAAAGTATGACCTGCACATGACCGGTGTCTGCCCAAGATGCACGTATATGTGGATTTTGTGTCATGGCGCGTATACGATCAATACATCTTTCAGGAGCTACCTTGCGCAACTGTACATGAAAAGAAGAAAAATGGAAAGGCACAGAGATGAGATAAAAATTAAGAAAGATGAAGGTGAGCTGAATCAATTGTGGGATGTAAAAAAATATTGCCTGCAAAACAGGTTCACCAGATCCACCGGACTCCTCATCCTCGCTATCGTCGTCACTATCACTGTCCTCACTATCCATATTAGAGTCATCATCTGCGGCTTTGGCTGGCACTAGTTCGCGCTTTTTTCCGGAAATGTTGGGTACTTCAAATATTCCAAGAGAGTTCCAAGCAGCTTTCTCTGCCTGCAGAACCACATGTTTATGTTTTCACCATCAATATTGAATTGGTAAAAGAAATTAGATAAATAAATCAGTCAGACAAACAAAAAGATAAAGCCCACCTGAGTCCCTGCAACGAAATACACGGTATGGATGAACTCTGTCCGAACCAATCCTATCTCGCACAATATCAAAGCTGTAAAAAGAAATTCACTTCGAGCGGTGAACTGGAAACCTATAACTCTCTTGGAAAGATTGAAACTTTAATTATTAACTATAACCATTACCCGCAAATTAAGTATAAAACTGGAACTTCAAAACATAATTCAATATTACGACTTACGAGTACAATGCGATCATTTCCAAAAAGAAGAAATTGTAATTATCAACACAAGCTACAGCTAAGATTAGTTCAATTAAGTTATACTAAGTTCAGCTAATCATGCTCCAATAATTCAAACCCACAATCCAAAATTCAAACTTTATGCTTTTCTTGCACTTTCTATGCAAACCAAAGAGAAGAATTCATAAAATTCAGAGCAACCTTAAACAAGGCCAACCGATATGGAAGGCATGGAGAGAATTGTAAGCTGAAGGGTCACACTGGAGCTCTTCACCCTCCTCCAGCTTGTCCACTCCCGGTTGCCATACCTTCGCTGGCATCGACGGTCCCGAAGAGGAAGAAGACGCATCTCCTTTCTATAAGCCCTAAACGAAAATTCAACTCAATTCAATCAAATCTATTGGGGAAAAGATAAAACCCTAAATTTACTAAAATAAATAATAATAAACGGAGAAGGTATGGGAACTTGGAGCTGACCTTGGCCTTTCTTTTGGCTTTCTAAGGGTTCTTGATGCTTCTGACCATTTCTGATTCTTCAGTTTTTTTTTTTCAGAAACAGAGACCCTGACGAAGGAAAGAGGAGAAAGCAAAACAGAAGAGGGTTTGGTGGGGCTAGGGTTTTAGCTTATTGGGCTCCAGCCTTTTGTGATAATAATAATATGCTATTTTTTTTATCAGCCCCCCAAAAAAAAATACACTACACTTTAGTGCAATGGGCTTATTTGTTTTCCCACAAACGACATTTAGTGAGTTTAATAGTTAATTTAATGAGTTCAATAGTTAGTTGTTTGGAGAAAAGAAATTTATTAGCGATTAAATCAGCACCATGGTGAATAGGCATGAGCTTGTTTTCATTTGTTTATTGGCACTAAAAAACAATCATCATGCGATTCTTAGAGTAACCATGCATGGGATTGTGTTTGATTTCAAATCATAACCCTATTTTGACGTGGATAGTACTATTCACATTTTTTCTTACCTTTCGCACACCCTGGTTAATTTTTTACAATTGATCTTATTTTGACATGGATAGTACTATACACACTTTTTTTTACCTCTCATACACCCTTTACGATGGATCTTTTGCAGTTTATTGATTCGACAGCCGAAAATTGAGAGGGGTGTGAGGAGTAAAAATCGGAGTATGAATAGCATTATCCTTCGACTTTTGATACAACTTTGGGAACTAGAGTGCAAGGGTAACTGTTGAGATTAGGGATGACATTTTCCTACCTGTTAAAATCATTTCACCCAGGTACACAGTCGTTTGGGGAGGATTTATAAATGGGTATTTGGGTATGAGACAAATATGGAGAAACCGAAACTTCTTATGTGATCTTGAATATCTTTATGGCGATAGGGATACCGTAACCATGAATGCCAACCAGTTGTGCACCCGGCCCTAGCTATAGCTTGCATGTTGGTGCTCTACCCTTATGCTACAACGTAAGAATCTAAACTACGTATTAATAGAATCATCTTTGTCAACCAAAAGATGGTGAAAAGACCATTTAGTTTTCTATCACAGCAAAAGGTTAAAGGCAATAACGTAATTTCACAAAACAAAATTTGCAGTTTTTTATTTAAGTCTCACATACAGATGATTTTAACATCTCTAAATTTAGAAATTAAAAATAAAACATCTCTCCTCCTCACCCCACTCCCAAGTTCACTTTCACTCTCTTCCTCACACCTTCAATTTTAAAAACAAAAAAGAAATTTCACACACACACACACACTGTGTGTAGGCATATACTAGTTTGATTATTTCTTTGTGGTTATCGCCTACAACATTAATACCAGCACCACTATTCACATTATGCTACAAATATTAATGAACATAAACACCAGTTCCACCACTCCATGTTCAATTTGAAGAAGATGGTCCAAAATTTGAGCTTTTAATTCATACATAATATCGTTCTCATGAACGTCAATTACACACTTTTCATACCACAAAAACCAAAACGCAAGACACACCACGAAATTGAAGGGAAACCAAAGCCAAAAGAGATTAAAGCAATATAAAGAGGAACCAAAGCATGCAATACCAACTCAAAACACACACACACAAAACAAAAGCGATACCAGCTCAAAATACATATTAGTCCCAGCCAGTTGATCTCTTAGCTCTTTTGAGTGGTGGCGTCGCCAGGCTACATGTATGGAAGGAAGACGCTGCAAAACACTCCACTTGTCCCAACCAGTTGATCTCTTAGCTTTTTGCGTGGTAGCGGCGCCAGGCTACTTGTATGGAAGAAGCTGCAAAACACTCCACCTGAGAGTGAGGAAGATCCCTTCTAAAGTGCAACCAAAACTTAGCGACTACAGACTTCAAGTCGTTTGCCGTGATTGAAAATGCTTCAACTTTTGATTGGGACACAAGGGTTGTAGTGCAAATAGGCAACTCAGAAAATGTGGCAGATTTCAATGCCCAAATTACAAGTTGTTCTCCATAGAAATCATTTTTCTCAAGGCATTTGCATACATTTGTTGCACCTTTAGTAGTGGTGTAGGTCAAAGTAGTGCCTCGCCAAATGAACAACATCTTCCGCAACGGTTCACCTTCCCTAATAATATACACATCCGCATTATAAATCACCGGTTTTAGACGCTCAGATATTGCTTTCAACCCTTTTTCATCTATACTTCCAATAATTGGAACCTGCATACCAATGTTCAATTATATAAAATTAGTTACGCATGACGTATATTATCTTTATTGACTGTTAAATTCAAAATTTTCTAGTTACATACTTTCTTTAGTGAATCCATGCAGTGACGGGGCATGATAAGTGTTTGTTCTATTAAGGCCGGATATGTTTTTTCCTTCTTCTTTCTCAATATCCGCCGCTCGGCTGCTTTTTGGTACCACTGCATGTTTAGTAACTCTATAAAGCGATTTCATGATGAGTTCATTAAATCCAAAAACATACGTACGTGCATTAATACACAAAAAAAAAAAAAAAAAAATTGCATGGAGGAGCTTTAAGCTGAATTAATGACAAAAATTTTGCTTAAAAAACTACTGATCACGGCACTAACCTGCACCCTCGAATTGAGATATACTAAAAATAGTATCACGCCACTTATAGAGATCACAGCAGAAAAAATGATTTGGGCCGTGTCGAAACTGGTCTCAAGGTTTGAACCAAAAGAACTGCAAAAAAATGAAATGGAGGGCAATATATTAATTACTGATTCCGTTCTTTTAGAAAACTGGCATAAATTTTTTATAGAATTTAACTGCAAGGAGACAAATTATGAGAATACAACATAAATATTTCTAGGTGATCAAACATGAAAAGTCATACAAATACAAACCTAAGATTTCGCAAACCCCACCAAAAACACTGCAACATCTTTCTTGGAAGATATTTTGACGTTGACAGATTAGATTGGAGAGCAGACACATATATACCATACTTCGATGTCCTATTACATGGAAGTTCTTCAGAGCATGAGCATGATAGTTTTAAACTTGGGATATTGATCCGCCCATTGTATGTCTGACTAGTAGGACCACAATAGAAACTATAGATGTGATAATCACATATTTGTCCATGTTTACAGATATAGTCCTGCCAACATATTATCTTTCGATCCACAGCAAAAAAGTACCACAAGGATCCGTAAAGCTGAAGGACAAACACGACAATATAGTTAATAATCAATGTTTCTGAAAAGTATTGAAAAAAGATAAAAGATAATGAAATGAAAGCACCACACCCCTCAAACAAGATGGCCCTTAAAGAAGAAGTAAACATGCTCTTACTCCTGTTCAGTATTGTCATATGCTTTCCCTTTGTTTATTCAAAACCATATGAGAAGTTAATTGTACCTATTATTAGGAGTGCTCAAGCACTAACCAGTTAATATGTTAATATGATACTAACCATATATTTAAGTCCGTTACACAACGTCATCTCATTATCTAGCTGGCTCATAATTTAGGTCAATTCAAAGATCAAGCTTGCAAAAGTTATCCAAATCGGACATCTTTTCACTATTTGCATTGTTATTGTGAAAGTTTTCCTTCTTTGGATGTTGATTTAAAAAAAAAAATTATTGGTTAAGATTATGAGATGACGTTGTTGGTTACTAACCGGGTGATGCTTGGGCATTGCTATATCTATTGTTAGAGAATAGAGTCTCACATTGAAGATTTAAAAAGATAATTTACAATTTATATAAGAAAGGTTCAATGCTACTAGCACAAACGCTTTTAGTGGAAAAACTCCGCACCAAGTGGTATGTGGTTACGTGGAGAACAATATTAGTAAATATGTTGGTGGTGACCATGCTATTTTAGAAGGTTTATCATATTTACACTCATATATCTCAACAATAAGATTTCAACAAAATTTAAATTTTTCACCCAAATATCCGAAATAATGAAGATTGAACTTACATGAGAAGCAATGATGAATGGAAGGAAGTCTAATATAGCTTTAAGGAATCTTCTTGGTACGGTCTCTATGTTAGCACGCCGATCAAGCCATTTGTAGTGGTTATAAGCCCTCAGTATATACTGGAATGGAATTACTGAAACAAGCTTAGAATTATCGAAGTATGTATACCTTCCAATGAGCAACAGTGCCTGGAGACATTTGAACAAACAGTTATATTGGTCTATTAGCTAACCAATGTTAATAAATTAATTTAATTACGGCTTTTTAGCCAAAACGACCCCTAAGATTTGCCTAACTTCTTATTTTTGTCCATGAAATTTAAAATCAATAAAAGTAGCCTCTGAGTTTGTCCACCACCATCAAAAGTACTCTCAATTTTTGTCAAATCATTTTGGCCCATTGTTTATTAAATTGAAGGTATTTTTGTCATTTTGGTCTTTATTTAACATAATTTCTCACTAAAGGATTAAAATAATTGATAGTGGACAAACTTGAAGACCATTCTATTGATTTCAAATCTCAAGGACCAAAGTGAAAGGTTATACAAATCTCAGAGATTATTTTGGCTAAAAATCCTTTACTGAATAATCTATCTAATGTGTGTCAAAGTTTTAAGTCTCATCCTAGACCCACAAGGCAAACGCTACCTTACAACCATAAATAGGTAGCAAAATGACAAACTTATATGAAGGTACGTGTTATCCATTGTGTGGCTTAACCAAACGCCTCTTCCTTTTACTGTAAAAATATATCGTTTTACTGAAGAAAAAAAATGAACGTAATAAATATGGTCATTTTGTTTTGCAATCCCTAATCAACCTAATTATTACAATGAAGCCTTATTTATTTAAATAGTTTGGTTGAGGTCCGTAGCATTATTTAAAAAATTTAACTCATGCATTTATACATTCAATTTTTCACAAATTATGAAATTTAAACAAATTCAAATAATACTTTACAATGTAACAATTACTTAAAAATCAATAATAGATTAATATTGTTTTCACATAGTTTTAGCACAAAAATAATGTACCCATATAATTATTAATATAGTTTAAGAAATAATTATTCATATATTTTAAAACATAAAATAAATACATATAATTAGCATAAGTACATTCACACAAAAAAAAGGGTTCATATTAAAATTCAAAATTTTGGGCCCAAATTAAAACTAAAAAGAAAAATTGTTCAAATAAAAAAAAGATACAAATTATAAAAAGAAATATATGAAAAATACTAAAAAGATATATTTGAAAATGATTAATAAGTTTTTTATTTTTAAAATTGACATATAATGACTTGTAAATAATATAATTAATATTCAAATAATAACATGAAAAATAGTCAAGGGGCCTTGATCCTAAAAAATATAGCAATATTGATTATAATAGGCTGTTTTGTTGGTGTGGGACAAGAATTACGTTATTTTATATTCAATAAAGTTAAAAGAGGCTAAGCCCACCATCTCTTACTTAATGTAGATAATATATTTTGTTCAATAAAAAGTTAAATGGAGGAAGCGACATTTAATAAAGAAAAATGATTAGGGAATTAGTAATTTAAGGGTTAATAAATTATTTGTTGCCGTCAAATTCCGAAAGCGAATGTTTTGGACTTTTTAGGTTGTTCGGATCAACTTAACTTTCATTTGGCGTGTCAATTTTGGGCCCGAAACTAGGGCAAACTATGTAATTGACATTTAAATTTATTAATACATTAATGATAGAGATTTCGAACAAAAACTAAAACTAATAAAGTCTGACTCAAAAAACATTAGTAACTAGAGACCAGATATTAATTTTTCTCAAATAAAATCAAAGTATCATGCACGCATGCATGCAGTTAGCTGTGAAATTTAATTACTTGCAAGAGATCACCTTCTCTTAAGGTCTTACCTGTAGAAAGGGAAGAGCAACCCAAATGCGACCTAAAATGGCTAAGAACCTTATTGGTTTCTTGTGGATGAAATTACGAACTGTTGTAACAAGACGATCGTCAATAGATTTTGCATAGGCCCATGTAGAAGATTTGGCACTACGTTCGGTGTGAAATCTCTTCAGAAAAACAACGATGTCCATGTAATAAAAAAGATCCCCGATTGATCGTAAAGCCAAAAATATCCACATCAACTGTAGGTCCCACAAGAAGCAAGCGTCTTTCTCGACAACGAACGGAATATAGCAGATCAAGGGATCAACAAATAGAGAAAATGCTGATGATACTACAAAGATAATATCCCAGGTTGGAAAGAATATTTTTGATTGATGACGTTGTGGCCCAATTTTTGGCCATTTTTCAGTGGTTATGCTTCTGTGTCCTCCATCTAAAGTATTACTGCTCTGACCTAGATCACTGTACACGACACAATAAACATATTATCCCAACATTTTCCCGCTATAAAAAAGAAATATACAACATATATAAATAGTATTCTAAAAATCTTCACCTAATGCTGTCTTGATTAATTTATAAGAATTTAAAAATTAGAGTTCTTGAGAAATAAACTCTTGAAACTCCTAGTTTTAAAACAAAAACCACATAAATTAAAACATTCAAAAAAGAAGAAAACAAAAACCGAACCAAATCAAATATATATATATATATATATATATATATATTTTTCAAGACCAATATTAAGCCCAATTTCCAAATCCACATGTGTTGAAACCCTAACTTCAAACCAAAACTCGGGTGCCCTGTTCACAGACAGTGGACTGACAAAAATGCCCTGTTCAGACATGTGTTTCTCTATTTTTACTGTTTTTAGCTCTGTTTATAGGTTTTGGTTTTAGATTTGCAGATTATTTCGAATTTTAGAATATCTTATTCGAATTTGGGTTTTTGTTAAATTTTCAGGTACATTTGACCCTGAACTCCATTCTGAGTCAATGTGCAGCTACTTCAGTCCTTTGTTTAAGTCTATAATTGAGTAGAACCAATGTCGAGCATCAATGGTGAAGATGATCTCGATGAATGAGAGGAGTTTTTAGCAATATTAGATTATCGATTGTTATTCCTTGAAGCCCATGCTCGACCTACAATAAGATTTTTTCTTAATTCATCTAATTTTTAAGTTTTCAATCATTTTAATGGATAGTTTGGTATTTCGGTGGGTTTGATCTTTGATTTCAAATCTGTGATTTTGTCAAATTCTTTTTTATCCTCAATTTCTAATGACGTTTAGGGTTTAATGAAGATTCTCGAATGAGATTGGTTAAGACCAAAAAAATGGTATGTGTCATACTTTCCCTTATCTATTCTTTTACTTTTATACGGAGTTTTGTTTGCGTAGTTTGGCAGATTAATTTTTTGTTCAACTTTCAATTTGATGTCACTGCCTCATTTTGTTTGAATTATGAGTTCTTATAAGACCAACTGAAAAAATTGTGACTTTTGAGTTCTTATAAAGACTAACTGAAAAATGGTGCAAGAAGAGACAATTAGAGTTCATCTCTTTCATTATTATTATTTTTCGTTTCATTTAGGACGAATTATGGTTTATTTGTGGCTGTGAAGTTTAATATTAAGTTGATTACATTTACAAGCCATGAGATAGTTTTTGCCTATTCTGCCACTTGGTTTTTGAGCTGCACAAAATTATACTTTAATGAAATTAACAGTCAACCCATGCATTAAATGATGGACTGCTTATTATTTTGAGTTAATTATATTCAACCAATTGAGGCTGACTAACGGTTTTGATCATCAATTATTGATGTGCCACTTTTCTAATTGGATATGTTGTATATATAATATATGCATGACCTGATGGTATTCTATTATATTACTTTTCTGCAAAAATTGTTTTCTGTGTTGGTTCTAAATGATTTGCTAGATGCTATTTTGATTTCAGTTGTTTTTCTTTCTTCTACTAATCTTTTCCTATATATTTGATTTATAGGCCTCTTGAATTTTGAATTGTGATTGGAAATTGGAGTCCGCACATGGAGTATAGGTAAAATCACTACTTTTCTTATTACTTTTCCTTTACATGTCTTTTGATTCTGAGATTGACTCTATAGTAAATTTCCGGCACTTAACACATACTTCAGTGTATAGAAGAAAGCCAATGTTTTTCTTTTAGGTATAAGAACCAAATACGTTATATATATCTTCTATGAATGCTTTTTTTAACTTTTAATTGTTTAGTTTAACAGCTGTTTGGATCCTTAAAAATATTCTTCGTTCAAATGTATTTTTGGACGAATAATTAAATCATTATAGATTCTGTTATCTTTTGCTTTATCGGTTTTACTTATTTGAATCAAATGCAAATTCCAATATTATATTATTAAGCCCTGAAATTAGAATAGATTTTTATCAATGGTTATTTTCGAAAGTTACTTACATTAACAACTATTTTTTTCAAATTGTAACAGTGATAAAAAAACCAAAACAAAAATGCTGTGAATTGATGAACAACAAAATTTTTAGGTACTAATCACTATACATGTGTAAATTCAATTGTAAATAGGATTGTAAGACCTATCGTTAAACACCTAATATGGTTGTGCATATGCATAAAACTTTGTACGTGTTTTTTACGCTTTTAAATCCTGCAGTAACTCGCGGCCACTAATAGTATATTTAAAAAGCTACTACAAAACCTAACGTCGAGTGCATACTCGCAATGAAGAACGCCGCAACCGAGCCGCTTCAAAACGAGCATCGCCTCCAGCCGAGCAACCACCTCTCAGCGAGCATTGCCTTTTTCGTGATGATTTTGTTAAATGCTTGAATCAGCATTTAACAAGACTCTCTAGCTGAGCAGCCTCTAGCCGAGCAGCCTCGCAACGTGTGCTACCTTTAGCTGAGTATTGCTTCACGTTAAGCATCGTCTCATGACGAGTACAAGTTCTGGACGACATCTAGTCACTTCGGCCCACACATGGATTGGATTTGAAGTCTCCAGCCAAAAGACTCTCTTGACTAAAGACTTGGGGGACTCCTGTTATACCATATATTGGGCCTCAGTATTTGGGCTTCATTACTTAGCCCATGATTCATGTAAGAGGGGAGGAAACCCTTATTCTATAAAAGGGCTCCCTCACACTCACTTAAGGAGGAGGGGAAACAGACAGAGGGGAAATAGGAGAGCAAACAGAATAGCAAAGAGAGCAAACACTGCCTCTATAGCCTCCATGTATATTCAACATTAATTTACATAGTGAAACAGAATCAACACCAGTGTGGACGTAGCCTCAACTTGAGGTGAATCACGATATATCTTTGTGTTCTTGTGCGATTGTGTGATTCACGGTCGGATTTATGTTGGTCCAAGATTGACCCGATTTTGTGCATCAACGAAAATAAACTTCAAATTTTTACAAAAACTAGAATTTATAAATTAATATACATCAATTCTCTTGTTTGGATTCATATTCAAGCCTTATTAACTACAAACCCTAACTTTATGTTTGGATAAAGAAAATAAACTTCAAATTTCTACAAAAGCTAGAATTTATAAATTGATATATATCAATTCTCTTGTTTGGATTCATAATCACAAAAAATTAAAATTTCCACATGGAACAAAAACTTGAAATTTGAGACCTCTAATTCCTAAGTTTAAATTTCATGTAAATAAATATTAGTTTTCAAATTTCTTTGATTGAGAATTAAAAATAACAAATTCCATTTTTGAAATTTCATTATTCTTTTAAGTTAACAAAACAAAAAAATTCACAAATTTTAAAAAATAAAATTATATAATTTCAACTTCTGTCATTTTACCTTAATAATTTTAAATTTCCTATCGTTTTCTCTCCTTTCTGCCAGAAGAAAACATCTTCTCTGCCTCTGCTTTATTATTTTATTTCTCCCAACAGCCCCATCTTCCTACTTTCTTTTTTTTCCTCTTCTTTCTTCTCTCCTTCTCGCGCCCTTCTACCAACGCCACGGCTGAATCATTCTCCAGTTCAGCCTCCAGTCTCCATTGCCAACGGAAGTAATTAAAATCTCTATTCGATCGTTCGGCCTCTCCGCCTCTCCGTGCTCCAGTTTGGCGTTTTGGTCTTTGATTTTAGGTTAATCAAATTTTATTGTATTTTTGTTTCTTGATTTGTATTGATTACTTTTCTGAATTACTTGTATTTACTGCAATTTGGAATCGCAGTGTGATGTACATTACATATTATGCAATGAAGAGCCACTATGGATGAGTTCATGCCGTCCGCTTTAGTATAAAGGACCGTGGAAGAGGACATCACTGCATTTTTATGAATTGGAGTTTTATGCTGTGCTTTTCGATTATCTATGCATTGGTTCTCAGAATTTGAGTTCGAGTTATTGTATTTTTTGAATTGAGTCAGAGGTCTGAAAATATTATTGAGAGACTTGGTGCTGCTTTTATCAGGGGATTGGGTTTTGATGAATTGGCAATTGGGTTTTAAATACATGACCTTGGTTTTCAACTACTCAGTATTACGGTGTGGTAATATTATTCTTCACTTGTAAATCAAAGATCTTAGGTTCGTATATCGTATATGGTAAATTCAATACCAAATTAAGTTGTTCATTGTATGTCTTAGTCGAACTCCTATTCTTTTAATGTAAAATATATCGTATTACTAAAAAAAACACTTGAGTTTTCAGTTTTTTTTAAACAATTTTCAGATTTTATAAATAAAGAATCGAATTGTACTTTCGGTTTGATTTCTAGTTTGGCAAAAAACTCAACCGAATGAAACCTAACCCACCTTGATACTTTTATATATAATTTGTATATTTAAGAAAGAACACCTAGATTTGCCTATACCCCAGACTGAATCAAAACGTGAATTTTTTTTTATTATGATCGGAACACATGTGATACACAACATATACTTATATAAGTGGTGAGAAATTTTATTGTTGTAGTTCTTAACTTTTTATAATGACAAGTGATGTACCATCTAAAATTCCAATCACACTGAATAATTCCTTCAAAACATGCTCGCAAGCTGGCTGAATTGTTTTCCAAGTCAAAGTAGGATTATGAGTCATTCAAGTCAAACTTATAATAATTTATGTATAATTAAAGAAAAAGAATTGTTTAGAATTTAGAGTTTTTCTAGTTATAAGAGCTCTAGTTGAGTAGGATTAGACTTGATTTGGAAGAACTTTTTTACAAGGTTCTAAAAAACGCTAGGCGCTAGTCGGGCGGCGGGCTAGCGCCTAGCGCCTAGGCGGGCGCCTAGCGCCTAGGCGGGCGCCTAGGTGGGCGCCTAGGCGGCCTAGGCGGATTTAGGTAAATTTTTTGTATATCTTGTAAATAAGTGCATATTGACACCTAAAAAAAACTATACTTGTATAGATAATAAAATAATGATAAAACGCAAATTAGGTACACTATTTCCATAAGTATTGGATGAACTTGTAGTAAATTCATCATTTGCAAATTAGATACACCATTTCCATAAGTATACCACCATGAAACCAAAAAAGAAAAAAGCACACAATTAATAAAAAATAAAAAATAAAAAAAACCTCCTAGGACCGCCTAGGACCGCCTAGGACCGCCTAGCCCGCCTAACCCGCCTAGCCGCCTAGCCGCCCAGCCCGCCTAGACCACCTAGGCGCCGCCTAGCCCGCAACCCGATTTGCCCAAAAACAACTCGGTTGCTAGGCGCCCAGCGCCTAGGCGGCCGCCTAGGCCGTTTTTTAGAACATTGCTTTTTTATTGTGATGGAAACACGGATGATACATCACATTTTTTTATGTAAATGGTGAAAAAAATTATTTTTTAAGTTATTAACATTTTAACACACAATCTCATAATTTGTATAATGACTAGTGGTGTCCCACTTCATGTGTCGGTCACACTGAAAAATTTCTCGTGGTTTGGATTTGGAATGGATAAGTAATTGTTTAAGATATTCTTCTTTCAACTTATAAGAATTTTGTATAATTAAAGAAAGAAAACAATAAATAATCTTAAAAGTTACAGAATTAAACATCCGAACCTTAGGGTTACGATGGAGTCCGCCATAACTGAAGTTCATATGATACCTCTATATCTTGTGGTAACGAAGCTTAGGAGCGAGCTACCTTGCTAAAGTTGTACAAGTACCACACAATAGCTAGCTTGGTAAAGTTCTATAAGTACCACAAAATAAAATCAAAAGTACTATTACACTTATTATCTATTTGTATTATCTCTTTAATAGAAATAAAGTCCACCAATGCATGCGGATCCATCTCTATTAGAGATATGTTACAAATAATAGAACAAATAGATGCAAAAAATAGCATTTTCATAAAATCAATGATTAGTTCGCCAATAAAAATGTTATTCTTACCAACTAGTTGTACCATCTCTCCACAAGAGATGAGATCTGCGTTAGCAGACCCTGCTCCTGTTAGAGAGATGTTATAAATAAATGATAAGGGTAGCAGTTGTCAAAATATGCATGTGCATGGCAAACTAATAGTTAGATACACCAATAGAGAGACAAGTACTGAAGCCCTACTAACCTGAGACTTCAAGTGCTGAAGCAGTGATGGAGTCCTCATTCCAAACTCTTGGCAACAGTGATGGAGTCCTCAGTCCGAACCCTGGGAAAACCCCTCCATGAATAAGATCATATATATGCCAAACATATGAATAACAGTAACCCTCCCCTCCCCTCTCATTTAACAATATTCTTCTTTCAACTTAATATAATTATGTCATTTTTCTGATAAATAAAGAAAAAGAAAGAAAACAAGAAGTGATCTTACAGTTACAGACTTAAAAAAAACCAACCTTATAGTTTCAATGGAGTCCGCCATAACTCAAGTTCAAATGATACTATATCCTTTGCTAACACAATTTAGGATCGACCTAGTTTGTTAAAATTTTGGGCGGAAAATTTCCAGAACACGGTGAGTTACAAAAACGCATCCAAAATTCACGAAATTCACAACCTAGCCTAATTTGAGGGTGTAGATTCAGGACATCACCTTGGTTTGGCCAAAAAGTGGCTGGAAAATCTCGAAGTTGGCCGGAGAACTCTCGGTCTGAATTTCGGAATTTCGAACCCACAGGTTATTCGACACTGAGCCTAGGGATGCTGGTGCGTCGAATGGTGGCTTCAAAATATTCCAAATCGACGACGCTTGGTTGGAAAATCAGCGGTTTCTCTCTGCAACTCGCCGGAGTTCAGCAGTGGAATTCTCCTTTGATCTGTGTCAAAACTCGCCATTTTCAACCAACCAAACAGGAAATTTAAACTAGTCAATGAAATGCAACGATTCGAGGTGATTAAAAGCTTACATTAGCCGGAAAACCGACGGAAACTAGTCGGAAAGTTCGAGCGCGACTGAGTTCGTGGTTCTCGGGTTTTGGGTCCGAGTTTGCGAATACGGAAGTCACGGCTGTATTGTGTTTGAGGAGCCGATTGCCATGGTGGTGGTTTGGAGGCTCGATTGGTCGGAGGCGGTTTTGCCTCTGCGTTACAGAGAGAAGGGAGAGTGGGAGTGAGTGCAGAAGCGAGCTTTCTTCTAAAGAATGATTCCTTAAATACAAAATACTTGGGTACTCAATTGAGAGAAACTTTTTATTCTGATCAAACGCAGGTGTTAAATTAGGTGTTTTTATATAAGTGATAGAAAATTATAATTTTTAAGTTATTAGTTTTTTAACACAAGTATCTCATCATCTATATAATGTACCACTTTATATACCGATGAAATTGAAAAATCTCTTATCAATGAGGAGCACCCAAAATATCTTGAAGTGGTCCATTGCAAATAAGACAGCTGTTAAAGTTTAAGCTTTACTTGTCATTTTGTTAAAATGTATAAAATTACTATTTTACCTCTCTTTCGTCAATAATGTATATCAAAAGTATCTCATCATTTATATAATGTACCACTTTATATACCGATCAAATTGAAAAATCTCTTCTCAATGAGGAGCACCCAAAATATCTTGAAGTGGTCCATTGCAAATAAGACAATTGTTAAAGTTTAAGCTTTACTTGTCATTTTGTCAAAATGTATAAAATTACTATTTTGCCTATTTTTTGTCAATAATGTATATCAAAAGTAAGAGTAAAATAGAAAAAAAAAATTGAGAGGAGGATTCTCTTAATAGTATATAAGTATATATAACAATAATATTATTTGTTTAAAAAATAAAAGTTACAACCCACTAAAAAAAGTTTTTTTTAAAAAAAAATTAAAAGATTAATGCTACACATACTGCTTAAACGTTACAAATGGTGATAACAGTAGCATTTTCAAATTTAAGAATGAAATGCCGCAGGAACTCGCTCCAAAAACGAGCGTCGCCGTACTCTCCACCCACATATGCCCTTTTTTTAAAAAAAGGGTAAATTATATAGTAGCCCTTTAGGTGTGAGCTCTATTACAACCTTATATAATATCTTTAAAACATTTCACTTTCATACCTCACGTACTATTTTATTTCAAAATAATACCTCCGTTAAATTTTTCATCCATTGATCTGTTAAATGCTGACGTAGTTGTCACATTTGTGCTGATGTGGCTGCCACGTGGTAAATTTTTTTTTTTTAATTCATACATTAAAAATATTATAATATTAACCCTATTAAAAATTAAAAAAAAAACAAAAAAACCCAAACCCAAAAATCCTTTCTCGAGTCTCTCTCGGATCTCTCACTCTCTCAGGTCACTCTTCTCTTTCATTCTTTCACTCTCTATCTCTCCCTCAGACTCTTTCCCCAACAGTACACTCATGCACACACCCATCTACACACCCAGCCCCACCTCCCCTACAACCCTCGACCCATAACCCTCATTTCGGGTCTGAGCTCTTCAACATCGACGACGATCGCAAAGGAGTGTCGAGAAAGTTCGATGTCGAAGTGAGAGATGAGGAGAAGAATGAAGGTGGAGACGAAGGTGATGTTTTGGATTTGGATACGGATGCAGATGCGAAGTTTAAGACGATGAGGGAGTTGATAAATCTGGAATGAGAGAAGAAGAAGGGTGCAGGTAGGGATTTGAAGGACATTGTAGGGACATTTTGGGGGATGACGTCAGTTTTGAGCAGGAAGGTGAGGCAATGGCGGTGGAAGCAGAAGATGAAGAAGGTTGAGAACGAGGGTTTAGTGGCGGAGAAGCGGCGTGAGACCCAGTCAGATGTCAATGGACGAGCCTCGGGATTCTTGGGATAGGTATTTGGGTCTGAGAGCCGCCCAGCCAAGGCTGACTTGGATGGTTTCGATTGTGGAAGAAAACTGGGAGGGAGATGGGATGAGAGGTGAGGTGAAAGGAGTGGAGGAGAAGTGGGTTGGGGAAGATAAGTTTTAGGTTTTTTTTTTAATAAATACTTTTTTAAAATTAATTATTTTTAAATTCATAAAAAAAAATTATTTTTACCACGTGGTACAAATATGGCAGCCACGTCAGCTTTTAACGGAACAATGGATGAAAAATCTAACGGATATATTATTTGAAATAAAATAGTACGTGAGGTATGAAAGTGAAATGTTTTAAAGATGTTGTATGAAGTTGTAATAGATTTCAAACCTGATGGGCTACTATGTAATTTATCATATAAAAAATCAATAGTGAAGATAGTCCTGTCACTATCACACAATTCACAACTGAATCTTGTCCCCCTCACATAATTGCATACCTAAAAAAATTAATACTGCAGATAGTCCTATCACTAATACTCTTTTAGGGTAATATTAAAAAGATCAAATATTTAAACTAAATTTTATAAACTGAAATTTATAAATGTTGATGATTAGATTATTACTTAACTTTTAATTAACATGTTTATTTTTGGGGTGTGCTATCTACACACTATTTTTTACTTCTCCCACACCCCTTGTTAATTTCTGTCATTTGATCTTCTTCAATTCATCCGATTAGACGGTCGAAAATTAAAATGGTGTGAAGGAAGTAAAAAATGGTGTGTGGATATCACATCCCTTATTTTTTTAAGGAACTTTAATGAAAAGCTCTTGGTGCTGTTTATGTCACAGCCCGTCCCGGAGATACATTTGACGGGAATGTGAAATGATGGATTTACCCTTAGCGGGTATTAAGGTACGTGGGTGTGACGTTATTTGGATTAATTTTATAAGGTTGGATTAAATTTATTGGTTTGTAAAATATTGGGAATAGGGATTAAATGGATGGTGAGGATTTGGTGTTGGAACATCTACACCTCCCTGCTCTCTCCTTTCCCCGTGTGTCTCTCTCTCTCTCTCTCTCTCCTCCATCGACTCACTCTCTCCCTCTCAAATTGTACGGACCTCACCACAAAACCCTGAAACTTCACGGATCGAAGGTGCCAAGGGCACCATTGTGCTCGTGAAGACTCTACGAACTCAAAGACACCATTTTCAGGTAAGGAATCCTTCGTTTTCACTTTGAAAACTCGAGGTCCGAGTTTGGCACTATTCATGAACTTTTTGTTGGTTGATTTTTAGGACAATCCAAGCTCATAGTGAGCTTAGTGAGGTCCCAAGGAAGCTCGGAGTGCTTCGTTGGAAGGATTTGGACGTCGGGATCACGAGGGTTAAGTTTGGCCGGTTTTGCTTGGATTTTTCCGGTGAGATTTAGTTGTTTTTGAAGCTTAAAAGTAGTATATTGTGATTCTACATGTTGAGGGCTTCAAATTGATATATTATACGAAGAAAATGGTTGCGAAACGAAGGAGAACGAAGCATTTGAAAATTTCCCAGTTTTCCGGCCACCGGAAAAACCAGTTCGGCGAGCTCGCGAGGAAGAAGGTGCGCGTGGGCGCGCGTGGACCCGTGCCTTCCTTGGCGCGTGGGGGCGCGGGCCACATTAAAAAATTATTTTAAAAATTTTTCGACGTCCGTGACGTCGAGTAGGTCAATGTGGTATATTCATATACCTAATTTGAGCACCGTATGAGAAGTTATTAAGAATTGTTGGTTAGGTGCTTTAAATAACGTTTTATAGTTTTCGCATTTAGGTGAAAATGTGAATTGACGATCCGACCGTTGGATCGTCACCAAACTTTGATGCGTTGTAATACGTAATATTTGAGGATTATAGGAATTTACGGATTGGGAATCCGATTTACGGATCTTCCGGAATTGGAGTTGTAAGTCCATAATATAGAATGTTAACCGTCACTTAGTTTTGTTAATTGACAGAGATCCGACCGTTGGATGGTAATGAAATTTTAGGAGGTTGTTCTAGAGATATATTGTGGACCTCTGGAAGTTATGGATTTAAAATCTGAGTGGCAGATCTTCCGGATCGAACTTCGTAGTGACGTATTTTATATAAGTTATATATTCTATCGATATGAATTCTGAGGTTGGATTTGATTATTGTTTTAGGCGCCGATCGTCATGACGCCTTGGCGTATTGTGCTAGGGAGTTGTAGGGCGAACTCCAGGTGAGTGGGCAGTTTTGATTTCGTATTACCTATATACAACTATTTTTCCCAGAAAATACGTTTTTATGAAAGTTATGAATTAATTTGCCATGCATGCAATTGTTGAGATATCTAGATTGATAATTGATGCATATATATGTGAATTGACGCGGTGGACACACAGGTGAGTTTTATTATTATTCAGCTGAGTTATTTTATATAAAGTGCATTGAAAGCTCATAAGCTGCACCTAGGTGTTAGTGCTTATATTGTTATTCACCACACCGCACGCTCGCCTTGGATCCAAGTAGGTGGATGTCGTACAGACCATGTGAGGGTTCCGACATGCTAGTCGTACAGATCACTAGATGTGATTCCGACTAGTGGGTGACCTTAGTTATGCGCGATGATGATTGATGAGAGAAGCACTAGAGCGTATTATGACACCTATCATCGTACAGACTACTATACGTAGTTCCGAGTGATATGCAGTGTAGTGCCGTACAAGTCATAGTTGGTGACTCCGGCAGGGCCGTATAGGTCACTGTGGTGACTCCGGCTGAGTGGGATGTTGAGCTTTAGAATCAGCAGTACAGGACCATTGTAGGGTTTCCGGTTGATATATTATTTCACCTGATTGATATTGATGCATTCTGATTATATTTTGGGCATGGCACATCATTACTGAGATACTATGTTGATGGTTTCGAACTGAGTTTTGTTGATGTGTATATATATGTTTATATACTATTTTTTGGGAAAGTATACAAGTTTTACAGCGAGGGGTTAGAAATGTTTTAAATGAAAGATTTTCGAAAAGCTTTGTTTTGCTAACCCACTCAATTTTGTTTTGCGCCCCTCCAGGTTCAAGTTAGCAGAGCTTTGGTGGCCACGAGGAACCCAACGACGTTCTGACAGAATTCACAAAAGTAGGACTCACCCTCGGGGGTTTCCATTTTAGTAATTGTATTTTAAAAGCTTCCGAACTGTGTAAATGGTTACGTCACTCTCACGTGACGGCCAGCATGCCCTCCTTCGGGACGGGGTGTGTCAGTTTACTTTAATGAAAACCCATATTTTTATACTAAAAAGTCAATCCTGGTACTATTTACTATAACTTTTATTTTGTCATTATCGTTAAAACTCAAAGTTT